CACAGTCCAAATAAACATGTTCAAGGATCCTGTGGATCAGGGGCCACTCCTGGTGATCAATAAATACTGATGTTGTTGATGATGAATATATCAAAGTCATATTTGAGTAGATAAAACTGATGTCTCTTCTATTATGTTTCAAAGGAAAATCTCTGCCAGAGGAAGACTCCAGTTCCTTCAACCTGGGCCCCTGAAGCGTGGCTGTGTGTGCGTGTGGCTGTGTGTGCGTGTGGCTGTGTGTGCGTGTGGCTGTGTGTGCGTGTGGCTGTGTGTGCGTGTGGCTGTGTGTGCGTGTGGCTGTCTGTGCGTGTGACTGTGTGTGCGTGTGACTGTGTGTGCTTGTGGCTGTGTGTGCTTGTGGCTGTGTGTGCTTGTGACTGTGTGGCTGTGTGTGCGTGTGGCTGTGTGTGCGTGTGTGCTTGTGTGCTTGTGGCTGTGTGTGACTGTGCTTGTGACTGTGTGTGACTGTGCTTGTGACTGTGTGTGACTGTGTGTGACTGTGCGTGTGGCTTGTGTGTGTGGCTGTGTGTGGCTGTGTTGTGGCTGTGTGCTGTGTTGTGACTGTGTGCTGTGTGCTGTGTGACTGTGTGACTGTGTGTGCTTGTGACTGTGTGACTGTGTGTGCTTGTGACTGTGTGACTGTGTGTGCTTGTGTGACTGTGTGTGCTTGTGACTGTGTGTGCTTGTGGCTGTGTGTGCTTGTGGCTGTGTGTGCTTGTGGCTGTGTGTGCTTGTGGCTGTGTGTGCTTGTGACTGTGTGTGACTGTGTGTGCTTGTGACTGTGTGTGCTTGTGGCTGTGTGTGCTTGTGACTGTGTGTGCTTGTACTGTGTGTGCTTGTGGCTGTGTGTGTGCTTGTGGCTGTGTGTGCGTGGCTGCTTATGAATTATTTTGAGGAAATGTGTTCAAACAAGCTACAACATAAAGATTAACATTTTGTTGGATATCTCTGATAGTGTTCGCTGCAGCAGCGATGGATAAGGACCTGGATAATAACAGTGTTATTCATTTGAGCAACACAAACGTTGCCTTACCATCACTTGTAATTATTTGTCTTAGTAGGGACATTGTGTATATTTTTCCGGCTATAACTTCAAATCTTCTTTTACATAATAAAGTTTCTTAGACTCGTTACAGACTGTATTTGTTTTCCTACTATAAAACAAAGCACATTGAAAGAGGTGAATGTATTTATTTTTATTTTGAAATAGTACAACTACAAACATATTTCAGAACTGCAGAGTGGACGTGCACCATGGGGGCCGCTGAGGACGTGCACCATGGGGGCCACTGAGGACGTGCACCATGGGGGCCACTGAGGACGTGCACCATGGGGGCCGCTGAGGAAAGCATGTTTTCAATGTCTGTTGGCACCTTTCACAGACGCACCAGGGAAAGGATCTGGTCATCAGCTTCTCTGGACAGAGGGCGTTCAGTGCTTCCTGAAAGAACCGTTATGACAAATGACTTTATATATTCTGTTACTTGTAGCTTTTCTTTCAAAGTGGTGAGTTTCCTTACAGTGTAATAGTGTAACGTAATTAGTTATGACAGTACTTTTGCGTTTCGGACAAGCTTTACTGGAATTGTTTTTCAGTCCCACATCTCACTGTACAGCTCTGATACACTTTGATTTTGTCTTCATTCTCTGAACAATAAGCACATAATACAGATGTTATTACATCAATAAATGTATCTTTATTTTGTGACATTGAGAAGGCAGCTTCCAGTGAGATGCAGCTTTACTTTCACATAATACATTACTACAGTGTTGTCTATAAAGAACTCCAAATATAAAAATTGTGAGGAAAGCAGTAATGTATTACTTTAAATAACCTTCATGTAAAGCTTTGTTGTTGTAATGTATATGCATTACATTCATCTAATACATATGCACTGTAACAGATGTTACAGTGCATAATGTTGAGACACGTCACACTGCAATCTGCAACATTATGTTTATCACAACAGTTATCAATGTACCAACTATAAAAGCAGTATTATTCTATAAAAGACTGGATCGTTTTTTTATCTCTTTCTTAGTGATGCTATCCTAGCTAACACCAAGCTGCTTCCAGTGTTATAGCTAGGTTACAACTGAGCTATTCTATGCTAATATTTCACTCCCAGAGTTTGTTGTTAATATACTTACGAGTAGACCTGACGGAGATGAACATGCTGCTGCCATCACCAACTGCTGATGCGCGTTCATGTGGTGTGACGAGGGGACGGGGGCGGGGCTACTAACTCGCTCAGGCAGAAGAAACTGCCGGAAACGACCAAATCGCTTACTGCTGCTTTAATATCCAAAATGTGACAGACTAAAAATCAAACCCTCTTGTCACATTAAAAGTTGCAGACACACATTTGATATTGTTGTGACGTCCCCACATCGCCACGCTGCAACATGAAGCTCTATGTAAGCTCTGAAAGGCCAATTGTTTTGAACAGTGTAAATGTAAAGCCATGGAATTCCATGACAATAGTAGAATGCAAGCTGCTCTTTGTGATTCTGTTTTTGGAAAACAAATAAAGTAATATTTGAAGCACAGCAAATCTGTGATAACTATACTGGATTTGCAGCTTTTCCATTTTCAACATTTATTGATAATATGATCATAGGTCTCATATAATGATAATGGAAACAGAGGGGTGTCCTCGTCACTTCATCACTCGGAACAATGTGACGGAACCTTTGTCACTGATTAAACTGCACTCACTTGTCATTACTCTGTGCCTCACAGATTCTCAGTGAGGCACAGAGTAATGTGCTACATTTCCTGAGCAATTTTGGGTTAGGATATTTCAGAACTGCATGAGCTGATATTACCAAGTTAGTCAATTATTATTATGTCTAGCCACATAAGGATTGACCAATCAGATACCTTCATTCACCAGGGAAACTCCAGTTTGCCGTAGCAACCACCTTAGCAGCACTTTGGTCGTTGTTACGGTGCGAAGCTAACGCCGTCGGAACAAATGCTCAAATAAGGTATTTTGGTCCAGAACCCGTCAGTCCACTCCTAATACACAGTCTATGGTCACGATACATCTAGAATGTAAGCCCGAAGGACAAACCTACCCCAGAGCATTATACAGTCGCTGAGGCCAAAAGATTAATTTCAAACATTCACTATTCCAAGGGTTTACATTTAATGAGTTTGTGTTTGCAACAAAAGTATGTATGAATGTTATTTTAAGAGATTCATTATCCTTTTTTTCCCACAGTGGGGGAATTTCAGGCCTTGCAGAAGTAGAAATGACCAGGATTTTGTTGTTGTCTCGAACCTTTTGACTTTGTGGCGTTGATTAGAGTTTCCCTAATAACCACGCACGTGTTTGAACAGCAGGATGTTGCCGTGAGAGGGTCTGTGCACACGGAGAATACTCACACATAATCTATAATTCAGATCCTCACGTCACCCTGATGCCTGGCCTGTCTTAAGCTAGCCCAGATATAAGCTGATAAGCCCAGGACACAATATAAGACTCATTCCTTGACCTAATAAGGAAACAGGTATCATTGCATCTTTAAAAAAATGTTGTCTAATTCAGTAAAACTAGTTCTGACAACAACGGTACACTTTTCAATGTGCCATTTCTGCGTTTCTGCCTTTCTGACATTTGAGAACACAACTGCAGGCTGTATTTAAACAGAACTGTGTAAACATTGAAATAGTTTTGACAAAGAGTTTGACCACAAGCTTCCTCTTTTAGATTTTTTTGTTATGGAATTTCAGAATGTTAACAATCACCTCCATACAATCGAGTTACCATTACTAAATGGTAACAACGATTAAGATACATTGGAACAAATATTAATAAAGAGAGCTTAGTTATGTGTGATTTGTGAGTTGGACAAAATATTAAGTCCTGCCATTAAGTGCCCAGTACAATTAGTACACTGTGCCGTTACTTTGCCTAATATTAGTGCAATAATTAGTGACTCAACAAACGTATCAGTACTAAGACCCAAGGATAATCTATTCACTTTTCTACTTTCAACGTTGTTGATTTCAGTGTAACAGCTCTGTGTTAATTCAGTGCTACAGTTACACATAGTTTTAAGTAATTACAAAAATCAACCAATTATTCAGGCCATCAAATTGTGAAGAATGCTTTAGTATGTAAATTATTTTATTTTATTAACAGTTTCAAGAACATATCCAAAGTGTGCACTTACAGTTCTGATTTAATGATCCTAAAGTATGTATAACGAGAGAAATATATTTACAGTATTATTCATTATAGTTATTTCCATAAAATCAAGGATCAAACATTGGACGGAAACACGTGGACTAATTTGAACTTAACTGCATTGTCACTGTTGTCCTTCACTGAAAAAACACATTTTGAAGGGACGCTACAGCAATGGATGATTACTGCCATTGTGGTAATGGCAGAATGAACATGGCCAGTGTCCTGGTAGATAGATTGAATGTCTGGAAACGTGTAGCTTATACTAAAGAGGCAATTACAGTATAGTCTTTTACATACAAATGAATATGAACTGGAATGCATCTGTGGAAGTGACAGTGGCGCATTAAGTCAACAGTAATATGCTCCTACACGCACTACATCATGAGGAGTTGATGACCACCTTTGACGAGCTTCATGGACATTTAGGGGACACTGTCTCCATGAAAGCTCAGAGTTCGGACAGTCGCCGTGGCAGAGGGTCGTGTCTGGATGGTTGGTGATTCACTCCTGATGCACACGGAGATGCTGCTTACGAACAGAGGCAAAGAGGCACACGCACACACTGGAACTCTCTCTATTTTCTCATCTATGCGAACAACACCAATGGCTGTTGAGATGCTTAAGAAGAAAATGGTGTCCTTACCACAATATGGTGTAATGACCATGTCCTTATTGTAGCAGGAACCAATTGTTCCGTTGATAAAGTCTTCCAGCTTCTCTCACAGCAATGGCTTCCTCACGCAGTCACGCACAGTGGACTGGAGTCACGAAAGTAAAAGTGCTGTGTTGCTGTTTCCTTGAATGCGGGCAGTGCAGATGCTGGGCTCAGCTCTGTCTCTGTGCGGTCTCGCTCCTCCCTGCAGCAGCAGCAGCAGCAGCAGCAGCAGCAGCAGCAGCAGCAGCAGCAGCAGCAGCAGTAGATGCAAAAACAGTCCGCGGCAGAGGCGCTTTGAGCGGGAACAAATCACCGGCGTGGACAAAGAGGCCGCGGGGATGGACGCTTCTAAAGCACGGAACTGGAGTCACAGAAAGTGGAACGGAGCAAGGTTGAGTAATGCATTGGTTTTATATAGCGCACTCTCAAGCGGACACTCCAAGACGCTTCACATGTAATTATTCACGGCGATGATAAGCTACTACTGCCCCACACCAGTATGTACCATGGGCCCACCCAACCTCCACCAATCCTTCACGCACACACCAGACTCATTCTTGGCAGGGTGTGGTGTCTTGCCCAAGGACACAACAAAAGTTTGGCATATTACAGCCCAAGGACACAACAAAAGTTTGGCATATTACAGGGGGGGGGGGGGGGGGGGGGGGGCTGTAAACACTGGCAAACACTGTGATACCTGTTTGCCAGATCCTGCCCTGCTTAGCTTTAAAGGCCTGACAGAATCTGCCCAAGTGGTAATACCTGGGGGGTATGGTACCGCAGACTAGGGTAGGGTAGGGTGTGGTAGAGAAGGATAGGGTAGGGTATGGTAGGGTGCAGTAGGGTAGGGTAGTGAATATTTATTTGATAATACAAAAAACGTTTACTGGAAATAGATCAATTGTTAAATAATCTAGAGTAATCTAGAGCATTGTGATTTGTGAATTGTTTAATGATCGAAACCATTATGAAAAGCAGTGAAACATGTATTTTCAACTTTGTTTTTTCTTAAAATCATTTCATTTCAAAATATTTTAACAGCTGGACAACGTCATGAGAAATGGACAATGGTTTCAGGAAAGCCAGAGCACACACTTGAATCAATGTGGATATCTTTACTACAGCTATGTTTTATGTGACGTATTCCAAAGTCCTTGACACGAAGGCCCTGGTTTCGGAAGCAAACGTGATGAAACAGTCAGCTGACGTACGGACGTAGTGGCTGACGTAACTTTGCGGAAAGAACCACGTTGGGTGTTCGCTCTCCACAGTCGCTCCCCGGCACGAGGACACGAGCAGCGCTTTAACCATTCACCGTAAGCCTTTTAATATTATACATTTAGCACAATAGCGTTAATACATCTTTTGGTTTCACTAAACTGAACCAAATCAGACGTACAGCTCAGTGTAGTCAACTTTTCCGCCATAAATCTGAATGTGTTTCGTGATGTGTTATGTGACCTCTATTGTGGAGATGTCCGCTAAAAAGTTGTCATAGGCGTAACTGTTTCTTTTATCATTTTGGCAATTGCTATGTATTATGGTTGTCCAAACGGTTTACGAAAAGTTACATTGACCATATTTCTAATAGTGTGTCAGAATACCCTAATCTTTTGTTTAGCATTAGCTTAGCTTGGTACCCTCAAGATGTCTGGCGGGCAATCAAGTTACATACCTGGTTACATAGGAGGAGGATATCACTGATATTTACAGTCTATGGAAAGACACACCAGGTCATATGTCTCCTTGGATTCTGGCAAATGTTTTTAAACAAAGGGAAAACATGTTAAAAGTTAGGTCTGTAGAAATTCGACTCCCCTAAATGTAGAATGCTCGTTTGTAGCGTTGTATAATCCATATGAAACTACTATGTCTGTACTGTGGTTGTATGAGAATGTTTTTCGTTCACAGAAAATGCCTGGAGATATTGCTAAAGGAAAGAAGGCCTTCGTTCAAAAGTGTGCCCAGTGCCATACTGTTGAAGACGGTGGAAAGCATAAGGTTGGTCCAAACCTGTGGGGTCTGTTTGGCCGTAAAACAGGCCAGGCAGAAGGCTATTCTTACACAGACGCCAACAAAAGCAAAGGTAAGGACTTCCACACTTAAATAAATGTTGTCTCCTGTATACAGACACTAACTATTTGAACTCTTTGGTTCCAGGCATCATTTGGGATGAAGACACCTTGAATATTTATTTAGAAAACCCAAAGAAGTACATTCCTGGAACTAAGATGATCTTTGCTGGCATCAAAAAGAAGAATGAACGAGTTGATCTCATAGCCTATCTGAAGTCTTCAACTTCATGAAGAACCTGGCATCTTTCTTTCTCTGTATCTTTAATATAAGAATCGTTTAAATGTATGAACCACAGTGGTTTTGGCATCACAACTTGATGCATGTATCACAGCTCTACCTCCAAATTCCATTTTTTTCTGCCTTAAACCTTTTTTCAAAAATAAATTATTGAAACACAAACCTAATATTACAATATAGAACCCAAACGGTTGACACTGTCAGAGCTGTGATGTTGAAGAAACCTAGAGGTAGAGTTGTATTTACACGTTTCTTTGATGTTACAAATCTATTTTAATTGTTATAGAACCAGGCCCTGAAGTCTGTCATTAGGCAACTGTCATGTGTTGAATTTAATAACATATTACATCAAAACAATCCTTGCCTTGGTGGTGTTTTTATGTGGTCTTCTATTGGAGATAATTTCGGATGCTCATCTTAAATTGTGTTATAAAATATATTTCTGGCTGCAAACCTCTCACCTACGCCCGTCTCTTGCTAGGAGTTTTAAAAAAGTGTTTGTTCGTTATTTTGAGATTACGACATGGTGAAATTATAATAGATCCATGGTTACAACAAAACCACAAGAATACTGTAAATGGATGGTTTTCCTGTTGCCTGAATACAAAATCGAAAGTAGGGGGTTATGTGACGAGGCTGTTCGAAAATGCAGCCTCTAGCGCCATCTTGTGCACGCAGTAGTCTGCTGCATCTCTTTTTTTTATGCAACGTTGTCCCCATATATGGATTTTCACTCCTGAAGTAATTGCAACAATAATTATTTAATGTGTTTTCATTCAAATGTTCAGTTCATGAATGTAGATTTTTAGTCTAGGCCAGAATCAGGCCGAGGTTATATTATAATCTACTCGCAGAAATATTAAGAACACACCGTTAAACTGCATGTACGATGATTTATTGACCATGAGCATCTTACTAAAAATCCATGACCATTGAAATACTGCGCCGCTGTGCTGTGCGTGACGGAGCGAGCGTCACAGGTGCCGAGCCAACCACAGCCGCGTCATTGCGCACAAGTCTCCACCGCCTCGGAGAGCGCTGGAGTCTGTGAGGCGACTGTGAGCCAACTGCAACTAAGATGTGTCAGGTACTAGTGCAGCTTTCTGCTCTGGTTTCTTTTGGGTTCCTGGTGTCTCTATGTGGTGTCAAAGGATGGACGCGGGCGCAGAGGAAACCTGAGTGAAGTGGACTCTGAACATGCATTGTGAGCCGCCGAAGAATCTCCAACATTGAACAACCAAGTTTTGATTTTTAAAGAACATCTAGTTGTTACACCAGATAAGAATCATAAATGATATTTCTTCGCTCATCTTCATCGTTTTGGTGCACTGAGGAGCCAGAGACCTCTGAAGAAGAGCCATGGCAGTATCCAAAATGCTCTTCTCTGACGTTGAAACTTTTCTGGACTCACATCCCGAGTTATTCGAGGACTATTTGAATCGAAAAGGGAATTCTAGCATGGTGGAAAAATGGCTCAAGAATCATCAGGCGAGCAAAAGTAATCCAGTGGCAGCGGCTGAGCCTCGGGAGGAGAAGAGCAGCGCGTGTAAGGACAGCTGGGCGAGTAAATGTGATGGATTGCAAAGAAGAGCTTCGCAAAGGGAGCTTCGCAAAACTTTTGCAAGGTCGAAAGCAATTAATGTAAACAGAACGTACGACGAATATGTGAATTCCAGGGCACAGGAGCCATTAACAAGCATGAGGAGGAGAGCACTACTGAGAAAAGCCAGCTCTCTGCCTCCGACCACTGCGCACATCCTGAGCGCTCTGCTGGAGTCCAGAGTTAACATACCACAGTATCCATCCACCGCTGTGGATTTTAAATACTACCTGAAAGAGCACAACGAAAGAGAGTTTTTCTTAGAACTGGTCAAAGACATTTCAAATGATTTGGATTTAACAAGTCTGAGCTATAAAATTCTCGTGTTTGTTTGTATTATGGTCGACGCAGACCGGTGCTCCTTGTTTTTGGTGGAAGGCACAGGAAACAAGAAGACACTGATGTCTAAATTCTTTGATGTGCACGCGGGTACCACAGTTTTGCCCTCAATGAATTCTGGCGAAGTTCAAGTGCCCTGGGGAAAAGGCATCATTGGCTATGTGGCTGAACACGGAGAGACAGTGAACATCCCTGACGCCTATCAGGTGCTGCTGTGTGCAAACCTACATTTACCATTAGTCACTCACCGGGAGAGACATACTCTTTACAACGGAATAGAATTTACAACTCTTTTCATTACTTTGGGGTATATTGATCAACCAGGGGTTGTTTTGTACAATAGTTTAATGTGCATGTATCCTTAATCACATTTTGCATGCACACACACAAAGCCTCTTTCCTTTAGTACTTCTTCAATTGTTCAACATTTATTTGTTAAAAACCACAACAAAAACAATATAGTTGTTTGTGGATTAAAAAGTATAATAACTAACTAACTAATCCAATAAATATATTATATTTACAAAATATATAATATAAAATATAATATATTACAACAATACATCCTCTACTTACATTATGTGTCATGCATTTGTAGGATCGACGATTCAGTGATGAAATCGACAAGCTGACAGGCTACAAAACCAGGTCACTTTTGTGTATGCCTATTCGCAACAGTGATGGGGAGATTATTGGAGTGGCTCAGTCCATCAACAAGACTTCATGTGGAGAACTCTTCACTGAAGACGATGAAAAGGTAAGTTATAGTTTTCATAGCAATAAGTTTGTACAATCACAATAGGGTCAAATATAATTTCTGATGACTGTTTTCAACTTGTGTTCCGTTTGCTGTGACATGTGGTTGACTTTTGCAATGGTATACTGTAGGTAGGCCTAGAGTTATTATTAACTTGCTTTTTGGCAACAAGTAATTTGTGAAACATGTTAGGTGTTCGAAATTGTTTTGTGCGACTTTAGCTAAAATCTTTATTTGTGTTACTTGGGAGTGGGTGGATACAGTTTTACTTTTGATATGCTTAGAATACTTATGCTTAGAATGCTTATGTGCAAAATAATGTTATTTTTGTATACAAAGCTCTTTCATAAATGTAACTATATCAAGAATAGGACTTTGTGAAAATTATTAGCGGTTTAAAAAGTGTATTTTTGGTCAACACATAGTTGAAAATAGTTCCTGTATTTTTCAGCCTAAAGAGTGTTGTCAAGCATTACCATTATTACCACACCAACATTCTTTAACTAAAATACCTGGAATGAGTTGAAAGCTTTGTTAGCATCAGATAATATAGGTTTGCAGTTTAGTTCCCTTTTAAGTGTGCTGCAAGAATACACGTTATTAACTGGAAGTAAAACCTTTGCCTGTCTCTAAACACAATACAGGATTGGATTTATACCCACTCTATAATTAAGTTATATATTGTGCTAATATTCTGCAGTCCTTTGGGAAGCTATAGTTCAACCCATGTATAATTGCATTGTCTCATTATCTTCTGTGGGGAAATGGTATATATTGCTTGTAACAAACTGACTTTGTTACTTAGTGCACCTTCACTGAGCCACTTTAAATACACAAGTCACCTTTATAGCACACAGCACTTTAAGCATATTTGCACATCAAAAAGAACATTGCACAGAGTTGGTTTTAAAATATTTATTAAACAGGTCTTTCCTTTTTACCATGTTTTTATCCAGAGGTGCTGGCAGGTAATTGGCTGCAGCTGGACCCTGGAGGAAAAAGGAAAACAGTCATTTATTTTAGCCAATCCCTAAATTATGTGCGATAGGTGCAATATCTGTTGAAGAGTGTTTTAAGTGTGTGTGTGTTGGTGTATTTTAAATGGGTTTGGTGAAGATGTATATGTGGGGTGTGTGGTGTGTACTTACTTTTTTCTGTGTCCGGTAGGCAAAAGGGTCCCACCAGGAACGAGCTCCCCCTTTTATGGTTCCGGGCCACAGGACCACATGGATTTTGTATGGGGGAGTTGGAGGGGGTATTTTAATAGTTAAAATGTTAATATTACTTGGTGTTGGTTTTAGGGCTTTTAGTATAAATGGTATCTGGGTATTTTAGATGAGTTATGGGTTGGGTTTTGTAAATGGAGTTTTAAGTTGTTTTACTAAAGCTAAGCATATTTTAACACCCCTGCTTTTACAACTTGGTTTTACCCAGCAGTCGGCACCAAATAAAAGGACCTGGGAAACATCAGTCTGGGCGCTGCTGCTGGAGAGGAAGCACTCCATTGGCACTCCTGCACTTTATTGCCTGTGTGCACTTTTGTTTGTATTTTTATTGAAAAGCCAAAAAAAATAAGTAAAATATGTGGACCACGGCGACCTCTTTGTGGTTTTGATTATTTTAACTGCACTCCAACCCGCTCACGGCCGACCTGCCTCACAGTTGGCGTCAGAAGTGTTTCCCACGCTGCAGTTAAAGGTACAGAATGAACACAAGACAAGGAGGAAGAAAAACGCCTGACGAGCCTGACGACTGTCCTGGATCAACAATGGCTGACCTACAGGGGGCACAGGCAAGTGGTCCACAAGACAAGATGGAAGAAATAGCTGGGATGATGAAGTCTTTGATGTCATCCCAGTACACTAGAGACAAAATGGTGGAGAAAGAAGAACGGACCCGGCAGGAGCAACGCTGGAACGCTATGCAGGATCAAGTCCAGGAACTTCAGCAGCAGCTAATGCGGATGCAGACAGAGTGTTCTGCACATCCAGAACCGACCTCGCGGTCTGTTCAAGTCGAGATGGACACAAGGCAAAGAACCTTGGAGGCACAATCAAATGAAGATGATGACGACATACCTCGTTACCCCCACAGACCATACCGGGAACCAAAACTTCTCCCACTTGGTCCTGAAGATGACATTGAACACTTCCTCACAACGTTTGAGAGAATGGCCCAGTTGTGCCGATGGCCAGAGGAAGAGTGGGCTCTACGCCTGGTACCACTACTAACAGGCAAAGCCCGAAGAGCCTATGTTTTGATGGACATGATTGACACAGAGGACTATGAAAAAGTTAAGGAGGCCATCTTGGAAAAATATGAAATCACTTCTGAAACATACCGCCGCCGCTTCAGATCCCTGAAGATCGAGCCGAACGAGACGCCCAAGGAGCTGTATGTCCGCCTGAAAGAGCTGTTTATGAGATGGATTCAGCCGGAGAGGACAACAATCAAAGCGATGTGTGAGAAGCTAATCCTGGAACAGTTCCTACGTATGGTCAGTCCGGAGCTGGAGATCTGGATCAAGGAGCACGATCCCAACACAGCAGAGGAAGCTGCACGATTGGCCGAGGTCTTCACATCGGCACGGAAAGGGAGCAGACCCACGTCCTACGCCCAAGAACCTCGCCAGCTCATGCCACGTAAGTCCTTTGGGGATGATGGGGGTGGTCCTTCCCAGAGTAGAGCCAATAGCGGTAGGCTAAATGCACCGATGCACCAGTCACGTTCAGTTAAAGAGCCCTTGAGACCACAAGATTTTAGGTGCTACAATTGTAATGAGCCTGGTCACAGTCAGCGCTTTTGCCCAGTCCTTAAAACCAAGCAATCCCTACTGTGTTCTGTACCTAGGCCAGCAACGGCTCAGACAGAGCAGAGGAGGGGGCGCACAACCCCAGTTCTTGTGAATGGCCACTGTGCAGAGGCACTGTTAGATTCTGGGTGTTTTCAGACTGTAGTACGGTCCTCTTTGGTTCCGCTTGAGCGGCAGTCACCTGAAAAAGCTCGGCTCATCTGTATCCATGGGGACGAGCACAACTACCCTACAGGAGAGGTTTATCTTACGGTGGGGGGGCAAACTTACTTGGTTAATGTGGCGTTAGCTAAAAACTTGCCTTTCGCAGTTATCCTAGGAAACGACATCCCGACTCTCCCTGATCTGATTATTCAAGCAGATAGCGGGCACTCAGAAATGTGTTCAGTGATTGCTTCAAACCCCTGCTTTCAATCCCCCCCAGAACCTGCTAAACCCTGTAACATTCTCACCAGAGCTCAGATAGCCAGGGGAATTTGTGAGGAGCTGCCTTTTTGTGACGAGGAGCTTGCTCAACCTTGCAAAGCTAGAAAGCCCAGAGCCCAAAAGAGAAGGGAAAAGTTTGTTGGCTCACAGAAAGAGAAAGAGGAGCTTTCTAAACCCCTGAGTCCGGTGGAATTTTGCATCCCATCAGACATTGGGGCTCTGCAAAAGGAGGACTCTACACTAAAGCCCTGGTTTGACAAAGTGGAAGAACGGGAGGGAGTGAAAACAGGAAAAGGTAGCCAGTTAGATGAAGTCAGCTATGTAATAAAAAATGATTTACTTTACCAGATCAAAGACAAGAGTGAAGCTTTAGCCTTGCCTGACCAATTTCGAATCAAAGTGATGGAGCTGGGTCATTCAGTCCCATGGGCAGGTCACATGGCGTTTCAAAAGACACTAAGACGAATTGGCAACCGCTTTGCATGGCCTGGAATGTTTTCTCAAGTTTCCAAATTTTGCAGTTCCTGTGAGATTTGCCAGCTAACTTCAAAAAGAGGAGTAGCTCAGGCCCAGCTCCAGCCACTTCCGATCATTGAAACTCCTTTTGAAAGAATAGGTATGGACATTGTAGGTCCCCTGGAAAGGAGCTCGGCAGGAAACCGGTACATTTTGGTCATATCAGACTATGCCACACGTTACCCTGAGGCCTTTGCTCTCAAAGCAATTAAAGCTAAACAAGTTGCTAACTGTCTTTTGCAACTCTTCTCAAGAGTAGGAATAGCTAAAGAAATACTCACAGATTGTGGCACAAATTTCCTGTCAAAGCTCCTCTCGCAGGTTTACCAGTTGCTTGGGGTAAAGGGAATTCGGACCACTCCGTATCATCCCCAAACGGACGGTTTGGTGGAGCGATACAACCAGACATTAAAATCTATGCTGCGCAAGTTTGTCTCCTCTACAGGCAAGGACTGGGACCAGTGGCTTCCATATCTGCTCTTTGCTTACCGGGAGATCCCACAATCGTCGACAGGCTTCTCACCTTTCGAGTTGCTGTATGGACGCCAGGTGAGAGGACCCCTGGACTTGCTGAAAGAGCACTGGGAGCGCAAAGAGCCTGAAGGAGACAATGTGGCAGCCTACGTACTCAAGATGAGGGAGAGGCTTGAGTCGATGGCAGCTCTGGCACAAGAGAATCTCAAGGCAGCACAAACCTCCCAGAAAGCCTGGTACGACCGGAAGGCAAGGGACCGAGCCTTTACACCAGGTCAAAAGGTACTGTTACTTTTACCTACCAGTGAAAACAAACTGCTCGCTAAATGGCATGGACCTTATGAAATAACAAAACGGATCAGTAATGTCACATACGAACTGTTTATGCCAGAGAGACTTAAAAAGAAACAGAAATTTCACATTAATCTTCTGAAAGAATTCATTGTCCGCCAGGAGCCTTCTCAGCAGTTTTTGGTGCGTGCTGTGAAAGATGAGGAGATTACAGAAAAGTTCTTCCCTGTCCCTCCCAAAGAGCCAGCTGCCATTGACCTTTCTCACCTCTCTCCCCCTCAGCAGGACGAGATAAAACCTTTCTTGAACCCAGGTCTGTTCCAGGAGACGCCTGGCTTTACGTCACTGGTCCAACATCAGATCCACCTCAAGCAGGAAGCTCCAAAGAGACAGAGGAGCTACAGGATCCCAGAGCGGTTGGTGCCAGTGCTAAAGAAAGAAATTGAACTCATGCTTGATCTGGGAATTATTGAAGTGTCAAATAGTGAATGGTGTAGCCCTGTTGTACTTGTGCCAAAAAAGGATGGATCTCTGCGTTTTTGTATCGATTTCAGATACCTGAACGCCATCTCGAGCTTTGACCCCTACCCAATGCCCCGCATCGATGAACTTCTGGAGCGCGTGGGCAGAGCAGCCTACATCACCACGCTGGACCTTTCCAGAGGCTACTGGCAGTTGGCACTGGCACCAGAGGCAAGAGAGCTGACGGCCTTCAAAACACCGTTCGGCCTCTATCAGTTCAGAGTCATGCCCTTTGGACTGCAGGGAGCCCCAGCCACATTTCAAAGGCTGATGGACCATGTGCTCCGGGATGTGTCAAAATTTTCAGCCGCATACTTAGATGATGTGGTGATCTACAGTGAATCCTGGGAGGAACATCTCTGCCACCTCCAGGAAGTCCTGCAGAGAATCCAGGCTGCCGGACTGACCATCAACCCCAAAAAGTGTGCAGTGGCCCATAGGGAAGTGGAGTATCTAGGATACACCATTGGATATGGACGGATTACCCCTCAAGTGCAGAAGATGGAGGCCATCCAATCCTTCCCGGTGCCCACGACAAAAAGAAAGGTCAGGGGGTTCATAGGACTGGTTGGATGGTACAGGAAGTTCATTCCCCAGTTTGCGGAGAGAACGGCTATCCTCAATGACCTGACAAAGAACTCTGCCCCAAACAAGGTTCACTGGACTGAGGCTTGCGAAGAAGCCTTTTCTGACCTGAAGGAGGCTATTTGCACCCGTCCAGTCCTCCAAAGCCCTAATTTTGATAAGCCTTTTGTCCTCCAAACAGATGCTTCTGGGGTGGGACTAGGAGCAGTCCTCCTCCAGGAGAAGGATGGGGAACGAAGGCCTGTTGTCTTCCTGAGTCGGCGGCTGCTGGACCGGGAGACTCGCTACTCGGCAGTGGAGAAGGAATGTTTGGCGATGAAGTGGGCGATTGACTCCCTGCGCTACTACCTGCTTGGAAGGCACTTCATCCTGGAAACAGATCACCGGGCACTTCAGTGGCTACACCGCATGAGAGAGGCAAATACCCGCATCGCTGGATGGTACCTGGCCCTCCAACCCTATAACTTCACGGTCCAATACAGGCCAGGCAAGACAAACATTGTAGCTGATTTCCTGTCTAGACGTGAAGAAGAATAGGCTTTGCCTTCGAGAGGAGGGGGGAAATGTAACAAACTGACTTTGTTACTTAGTGCACCTTCACTGAGCCACTTTAAATACACAAGTCACCTTTATAGCACACAGCACTTTAAGCATATTTGCACATCAAAAAGAACATTGCACAGAGTTGGTTTTAAAATATTTATTAAACAGGTCTTTCCTTTTTACCATGTTTTTATCCAGAGGTGCTGGCAGGTAATTGGCTGCAGCTGGACCCTGGAGGAAAAAGGAAAACAGTCATTTATTTTAGCCAATCCCTAAATTATGTGCGATAGGTGCAATATCTGTTGAAGAGTGTTTTAAGTGTGTGTGTGTTGGTGTATTTTAAATGGGTTTGGTGAAGATGTATATGTGGGGTGTGTGGTGTGTACTTACTTTTTTCTGTGTCCGGTAGGCAAAAGGGTCCCACCAGGAACGAGCTCCCCCTTTTATGGTTCCGGGCCACAGGACCACATGGATTTTGTATGGGGGAGTTGGAGGGGGTATTTTAATAGTTAAAATGTTAATATTACTTGGTGTTGGTTTTAGGGCTTTTAGTATAAATGGTATCTGGGTATTTTAGATGAGTTATGGGTTGGGTTTTGTAAATGGAGTTTTAAGTTGTTTTACTAAAGCTAAGCATATTTTAACACCCCTGCTTTTACAACTTGGTTTTACCCAGCAGTCGGCACCAAATAAAAGGACCTGGGAAACATCAGTCTGGGCGCTGCTGCTGGAGAGGAAGCACTCCATTGGCACTCCTGCACTTTATTGCCTGTGTGCACTTGTTTGTATTTTTATTGAAAAGCCAAAAAAAATAAGTAAAATATGTGGACCACGGCGACCTCTTTGTGGTTTTGATTATTTTAACTGCACTCCAACCCGCTCACGGCCGACCTGCCTCACATTGCTACAAGCTCATCATGAAGTCTTTATACATCCAACATATACGTCTGGACTTGACTATTACCTCCTTTATACAAAAATAAAATGTTTTAAACTGTTTTTCTTTTCCTATTGGCAAGTCTATAGAACCAATGATTTTAATAATGTCAGGCCTTCATTATTAATAAACCTATATAGGCTTTACTTTTGCAACAGGTTTGATTCTGAAATGTTTTTTTGTAGTTTGTTCCTCGTCAAATTCGCAGTTCATGCTCAGGCTTAAATAATGAATGTGTTAGACAGCCCTGGTTGTGTTTTTGATGAATGTGCTTGGGACTTATATCCAAACAGTGAGTGCTCCGGGTCATGTCCCTCTCATGGGTTCAGTGTGTGGGAAACACATTCTCCCACTCCGCTACTTAACATAGCAGAGCTTTGACAGTTTAGAAATACATTTAGAGAGGTGCTTGTGCTGTAGCCAATGACACGAAAAGTATAAATATGTATTGTATTTCCCTGAGAACAACACAATTATATTTTAAGTGGAGAGATCGGTAAAATTTGTCTGTTTGGTCATATATACTAATGAATGCTTTTAATATTTTAGCCAAAAAACTCAACTGTGTTACTGCCCAGTCGCAAATAGTGGGTCATCTGTTTGGTGTTGGCATTTCCACCTCAAATTGCCATGTTTTATAGAATACATGTGCACAATAAGCAACAAATGAATAGTGGAAATTAGCACTTGTCTGAATATTTGTATGACTCTATACATCCTGGTCCAAAGGTAAAGCATATTGTTTAAGATAAGACATCCTTTATTCTTCCCACAGTGTTGCAGCGCACATACAGGACAGTAGTAAGAGTACACCGGGAGAGTACAAAATATACAATATGAGTAGCTGCTATGTTTATAAGCTAGCTGCAAATGCTTCAATATCAATATACTGTATCAATATATCTCTATCTATCTATATATATAGTGCAAAGTTATATGCATAAAGGGCCAGATAATAAGTAAATAAAATGACATTCAGTGGACATTCTGAAATTGTAGTATTGCACATTGCATAAGATTGCAGTATTTACTATTTACATTCAGGCTCAGCAGTTCTCGTTGTGCAGTCTGACAGCAGCAGGAAGGAAAGACCTGCCTAACCTCTCCTTCACACAGCGAGGATGAATAAGTCTTTGTGTAACCTTGTGCGATGTCTGGTTGACAGAATGTAATTAGAGAACAGCTCTATTTGGGCCTTTGCTGTTAGTTTCAGAGCCGATCCATATTCAGATCCCCAAAGTCCACCCTGCTAATAAATGTGCTACTGTTGGACTATTGATGTTCGCAGCCATCCAGGTATAGCCCCACCAGAGGTAAGACTAGGAACGTCTATTCACCAGTTCCAACCTTCACACTTTTTTTTTTGAATGTGGGTTTGTTTTGGGTTAATTTTGGTCATTTTTAACCAAACTAAAATGAAGGGGTTTCTTCTTGTGCTCCTGACAGAGCCCACCTGTGTGTAATCTAGTCTCAGTATAATTGCAGCGGTTATGGCCTGATTGGTGATGGCCTCAGAGCTACATCACTAAACAAAATCTTGAAGTCCAAGTTGTGGAGAAGTTTAAAGCAGTGTTAAGTTATAGAAAGATTTCCCAAGCTTTGAACATCTCACAGAGAACTGTTCACTCCAAAAGGACAGAGTATTGCACAAAGGCAACTTTACCAAGACCACATAAACCAACAGGAAGTGCACTGATCAGAAATGCTACAGTATGTGTCTAAGTAGTTATATTGGAGAACTTTACAAAACTGTTAGATTTGCCAACACAGATCAGAGAATCAAACAGTTCAAACACAAGAAAACACAACTCTGAACTTTATGCATCATGCTATGGGCCTACTTTCTGTCTTGGCTCCAAAATGAGCATGTGCGCTGACATACTTGCAATACCACTCCGGCCCGGTGGGGGTGTACCCGGACAGAGAATTCTTTCCTCTCGAAAACGGTTTTACAGGATGGTCCAAAAGTTATGCTATGTTCCAGATTCGTGTCAATGCTGAGTGGAGTATTTTCTTTTTTTGGACCAGTCTTGTTTAGCCGCTTTGGACTTCAGAAGGCACTTGTCAAATGAATGGGGCTAGTGCCGGCTAAGGCATGCACAAATGCGTTTTTTTAGTTTCCTGCTTCGTGCCCCATAGAAGGCAAAAGTGGTGGCACATTAGTTTCAACGGCAGAGATAACTACATCCGTTAATATTTACAGTCTATCATTACAACACAAGAATATGCCATGGTATTGCACAGTGCAAGGATACAAAATATTACACTAGTACAAGACCACAGATAAAAAACAATGTTAACAAAACACAATAAGCAACAAAGTACATACAATGACTAAAGTGCTAGTGCGGCGCAGATTGAGAAGTGCATTGCTCTTGCCCCAACAAAGTGCTTATGCAGGTGGCAACTCTTAAAGCATCACACACACCCTCTAACAAGTGATTTTTAAAGGCATTGTTTTACTCAGGAGATCATTTAAACCGTATATACTATCTATATGGTAGAAGTTGTAGCTCTCCTAAGTCTATAATTTAAGATCTACAATTATCATAAGACTCGTAATTAGAGTTGTCAATGATTCATGTGATTATATGAATGGTTGAGAGCAAGCGGTGAGCACTTTAATCTTTCATATATGTATCTTAGAGAAGGCAGTAATAAAGTGTTATTTCTGCTTGCATCAAAAAGTGACAGATTCACAGCCTGCATTCATTGCTGGCTTTTATTTTAATTCAGGTCATGACTAAAAGGAAACATTCAGACTGAGAGCTGACAGAGCACTCCGTATCAGAAACTGCAGCTGACTTAACTTATCTTTGGGACAGTGGGTCAGGTCGCACAGAGGATGGTAGATATTAGTGGCTCTGTTGTGTTTATTGTGTTGTGTATACATCAACCAGATACTCAAAAGTCGTCTGTACAGGGTGCTAGAACCTGAAATGTCTCAATTCTGCCATGAGACGTCATATTAACCAGTTAAGCTGTGGTCTTTGTACTTTAAGTTTTGGTTAACTGCCCTGCTATTTTAAGCTACAAGAAATGAGGACCTTTTCTTATCCCACAGTGGAGGGAAATCTGTTCTCTAAAAAATAACTGCTAAGTGTACAAGTCTCTCCATGGCCTCGCACCAAAGTACATCAGTGACATGTTAGTCCCATATAAACCCACCCGGACTCTGAGGAGCACATGGACTGGACTCCTGCTGGTGCCCAGAGTCAGAACTAAACATGGAGAGGCTGCATTTCAGATTCATGCAGCTAAAATGTGGAACAATCTTCCTGAAAATGTGAGACAGGCTTATTCTCTGACACTGTTCAAATCCAGGTTAAAAACAGTTCTGTTTAGCTGTGCATACAACTGAGGGATTTTATATTTACTCATTTTGATGTACTGTGACTCTTTCTGTCATATTTTGTTCAGCACTTTGAGCAGCCTTGTGTTTGAATTGTGCTATACAAATAAACTTGCCTTACCATTGTAAAATAGCATTGAATAGTAAAGAACTGGCTGTTGAAAGAAGTCAACAAAACCAATCGTCTCCGTTACTTTTATTCAATCTATGCATGTTTTCATTTATGATTTGTTTTATACAGGTGCTGCAGATGTACCTCCCCTTCTGTGGGATTGCCATCTCCAACGCTCAACTCTTTGCTGCCTCTAGAAAGGAATATGACAGGAGTCGGGTAAGGATTCCCCCGTACCCCCTCACCCCCTCACCCCAGTGCTGACATTGTGACTGTGTATTGATCTCAGCCCACTTGCTGCCACTGCAGAGCTGTATACTTCCCACTGTGGACATTTTCTCTACATCTGCTGAGGGGGATGGGCCTGCATTCTATATGTGAGGATGAAACCACGAGGAGCAGCGCAGTTGTATGGTTCAAGCAGATGATGCAGAGTCCAGAACAGCGTGTGTTTAAACCATAAAAACGCACTTCTCCGAGTAGTTTCATCCGCCAGTACCATGGTCACACGACTCACTTAATCCAAACATGTTACTAATACTGTAGATATAGATATAGATAAGTTGTCTGTTGCACTTTCACAAAACATGTCTCAGAAAAGGGACTATTTTGTCAGCTTTAGCTTTAATGATTATGGTCGTGATGTGACAATGTGTTTTGGCATTTTTGCAAGCCACTTTGTGTTGCTGTTGAGGTTACTGTGAACCACATGTGCCATTGTAATCGTGCAGGCGCTCTTGGAGGTTGTCAATGACCTGTTTGAGGAGCAAACTGACCTGGAGAAGATTGTCAGGAAGATCATGCACCGTGCTCAGACATTGCTTAAGTGTGAGCGCTGTTCCGTGCAGCTGCTGGAGGACATTGAATCACCGGTAGTATTATTTTCTCTGTGTAAAGTTAATCTGTGTTTTTCTATGTTTAGTAAACTAGAAGCTACCAGGAACCTGGACCTGTAGTCATACGTGTCTTATCTAACCTTTCAGGTGGTCAAGTTTACAAAGTCATTTGAGCTGCTGTCTCCTAAGTGTAGCGCTGACACTGACATCAGCAGGTATGTACTCCAGTCTGTTCCAGCTATAAACACATATACTGCAGTGTACCACGAAAGAACAAATGTTAAACTAAGTACCTAGTCTGTATCTATTCAGATTACCCAATGTAGTTCTGTCCTGGTGAATCAGGCTTTGATCCTGTGTTTCCTGTGAAGATCTCATGTTATACAGAGAAATCATTTGCTCTTGTCACCATCAAATACAGGAATTTCCAAAGTGAATATAAATGTTCTCCTGAAAAACATCTGGAAATGTACAGTATGCGTTTGATTAAGCATATAGATTACTTTGTGCCCAAGAGCAAGACAAACTGTTACTTCTAATCCGTCATGCAATTCCAACCACACCCTGCGATGGATAATGCTGAGCTAGTGTTGATTTTGCATTGTCTTAATGATTGACAAAGGATACGGAAAAACTGCAGAGATCATTCTAAAATGTATAGTTTACTGTTTCAATTCACACTTTATTCACAATGTCTCATTCAACATAGGTGCACACATACAGTATACAGATATGTTGATCCTACATCCACAGTAAAGTGAACATTAAATTCAAAGTCAGGGCCAGACCATAGAATAATTGGAAGATTGGCCATGCAGGTGTGTGTGGGCGTTTGGCAATGAAGGAGACAATCACACAATTAGCTGTTCATTACTAATTCAGGCTGCAGGAGAGGCATACACTTCTGTGCTATGAGGCCCATTAACACGTGATCCATACACCTGAAACATTTGACAATCATTTGTGAATTGACATTCTTTCATGGCAGTTTCAAAGACAGCATGGAGAAATCCTCCTACTCAGACTGGCTCATTAACAACAGCATTGCAGAGCTGGTGGCCTCCACAGGACTGCCTGTAAACATCAGTGATGCCTATCAGGACCCACGCTTTGATGCTGAGGTAAAGAGACCATCATATGATGTCATTTAGGTACTTTTCTATATGTTCTGGATGCATAGTAAAGGACTAATGGAAGCCAAGGTACTTTCAGTCAGTGTGCATCCTGATGGCGTTATGATTTCATGTGATGAAATGACATGGCATATGTCCACGTTTTTTTTTGTGCCAGGATACAACATGGAAAATAGGATACTTTTCACACTGAAATGTTGCACCTATTTTACAAAAACTGCACACAGTATTGAAAGTCGGGACTAAATTCTCCCACGCGCTCGCCATGAATTGTGTTGCCTCCTCCCAAACCAGCGTTCAGGCTGCTCCATCTGCCCCCTACCCCCCTCCTCAATGAGGTCCACGGAACCAGCCGCTTTGTACAAAACAAAGTTATAGTGTCATTCATTTTTTTGAGGGCCTCTGTTAATAAAATAACTTTTCTTAATATATAATGTAGTAGCTCCTGGCTTTGTGCTCATGTCATTGTTTTATTTCGTTTTCCTTCCATTTTGACATCCTGTTCATCATAGAACAATGCCTCAATCCAATTTTCAATTCAACCTGCTGTGGTAATTAGATAGCTATAAAGTGATCTGGCCGTAGGACAACGACCCAATTGTGTATCTGCGATGATTGTGTGTCCGTGTTCTGTTCTTTCGATGTCTTGTTATGTTCTGATTGTTCTCTTGATATGACACGAATGCTTATCCAACGTAAACGTTGACTATATAAACCATATCCTAAATATGTTCTGTCTGAAAAACCACTGAAAAAAGCCACTGAGAATAAACATCCAAGCTCTGGTGCTCCTTGATCCTGTCTCTGTGTGCTTGATTTCCCACACTGCTTTACGTATGTAGCTCTTTCACTCTTACCAATTTATTTTGTCAAAACCAAAACATTCAAGTCACAATTCTCTTTGGGATCCACTTCATGGTGTCACAGTTAGATGTCTATGAAATTAATGTTTTTTGACCGATTACCTCTATAGGTGGAGCTACAGTACTGACACTTGCAAAGACACTTTGCTATATTCTCAATGCTTTACAGTTTTCCGAACAGTCGCACATTTGTGATCTCTATTAAAATTACCCCCTCTTCTTTTTAGGCCGACCAGTTTTCAGACTTTCACATTCGCTCTGTGCTTTGCGTCCCTATATGGAATAGCAATCATCAGATTATTGGTAAGTAGATATCCTCAGAAATACATAGTTTGTAATGTGTTTAAATACTGTATGGCGGCGCCGCACTCTTCCCTCCACTCTTGTAAGCGGAGTTCCCTTTTTCTGGCTGTGTGCTTTATCTTTGTAATTCAGCCCAAGGCAAACACATGAACACTCTGATACATCATTGATTTCTTGCCTGGTTTTTGGGGCTGCATATTGCTTGAGAAGACCAATGGTTGTCGCCTGATGGCCCAGTGTGTGTGGAGCGGAGGGTTGTGCTTCCCATGTTCATGTTCATCTGACACGTGTCGCGTCCGGGGTGCTTTTTGCGTAGGTGTAAGTGAATTTATGGAGGAAGGAGGGGCACAGGGAAGAGAGGGGAAGAGGGGGAGAGATCTGTGTGTGTGTGTGGGTGGTACCTGAGGAGCTGAAGTGAAAAACCATTATACAAACAAAGCAACAGTAGATGAAATTCTCCTGTGAAGGATTTGCTCACTTGAATGAACATGGTTGTGTTTCTGTGTTGTTACTGAGATAGTTATTTGAAAGCTCGAGGTGAGTGCGTTTTGGCTTCTTTCATAAGCACTTATTACACTACCCCAAAACGAGCCGACCCAGACGCGGCCGTGGATCTGGCCTGACACGCTTCCCACGCGGCCATTGGTGGGTTAGGGATAACTCAGCAGCGTTGTGTGACCAATTACTCTAAAATGTATTTTTTTATGTATGGGAAAACGCCATGTTGTAAACTATTGTGAAAAATAAATGGCAAGATTATTTGTATAGCACAGTTCATTCACAATGAAATTCAAAGTGCTTTACAAAACAAGATAGAAAAGGGATCAAATCCCTCAGTTTTATGCACAGCTAAACAAGACTGTTTTTAACCTGAATTTGAACATCGTCAGAGGAAAAGCCTGTTTCACATTTTCAGGAAGACTGTTCTAGATTTTAGCTGCATAGATCTGAAATGCTGTCTCCCCATGTTTAGTTCTAACTCTGGGCACCATAGGAGGCAAGTACCTGTGCTCCTCAAAGTCTGAGTTGGTTAAAAAAATGAATTTATTTTGTATAGAGACGGAAAAGAATCCAGCAAATAAAAAAAATTCACATTATTATTGTATTGATTATTTTGTCTCTAGATTATCTGATTGTCTGACTATTGATTATTTTTCTGTTCGTTTTTTTAATGGAAAAATTATGCATTCATCTCAACTCATCTTCAAGTTTGGTGTTTTGGTTATACATTATTTTGTATATCTATAAAAAGTATTTTGCCATTGTCTCGGGCTACTTTTGTATCTAAATATTACTGATGTGTTCATATGTTTTGTGTTTCAGGAGTTGCTCAAGTGCTCAACAGATTGGACGGCAAACCCTTTGACGATGCAGATCAACGTCTGTTTGAGGTGCTGTATTCTTTCTAATTATTACCCGTTTTAAAAAATGAGTTAAAAAATGTTATTTATGTTGTCACAGGCCTTTGTTATTTTTTGTGGACTGGGCATCAACAACACCATCATGTATGACCAGGTGAAGAAGTCCTGGGCCAAGCAGTCTGTGGCTCTGGATGTAAGAACTTATTATTATTATTATTATTATTATTATTATTATTATTATTATTATTATTATTATATTCTTCAACTTTGATGAGGCCACAGACACGGAAGCTACAGATGGAGGAAGTTTCAATGAATCACTAGTTTTATTGAACATGGGTTTGGATATTCTTACAGATTGGATGGAAACAGTTGTTTAGAGGAGACTGATTTAGAGATTAAGATAAATTATATGGTTTAAAATGAGTTATGAAATGCCATGGTAGATGCGATACTGTATTTGGAATGATAACATTTTGGCCATACCTGTTTGTCAAAGCCTGATCTCAAGATTTCTGAAGATAAGCAAGTCAGGGTCTGTTAGTATGGATGGGAGATTGCACAGAGGAACAAATGTGTGAATGAATGTGGTGGTCAATCTCTGGTCAGTCTCTGGTGGTCAGTCTCAGGGCAGCTGTGGCTAAAAGAGCAGCTTATCACCATTTTGTAAATAATATGATTATTTGTATAATATATATGTTCCACATTTACTACAAGCTAATATTTGGCCTTTTTCTAACGAGCCAATATCAACACTTTTCTATGTTATTTTTTCTACGGACAAAGTAGCAATGAAAAAAGTGCTGATCCCTCTTTGCAGATAACCTCACAAAGGTTTTATTGAAAATTAATGAGAGGTGGAGAATAGCAATCCCTCATCTATGTGCGTACACAGCCATTCAGCACGAGTCAGCCTTTGTCGCATATTACTGCTGAGCTTTAGACCCGTTAGTACTATTGTATGGAAAAGAAAGGAGATAGAGAAGTGGAGTTGCAACATTTAAGATTGAGGCACAAAATAAAATATGTAGATGCATTGCTCCTGGCAGTGGTGAATAAACATTAGGGCTTATGATCCAATAAGTGAATGCAGGTCTGTGAGGGATTCTCTCAGGATATAAAGACATAAAGACAAAACCAGGTTTGACACCAGCTCCTGCAGTCTTTTGGAGGCGACTTGGTGCATGCCGTTAGTTAAACACATGTACTAACTACATGTGTTTTTGGTTTGTAGGTGCTGTCTTACCACGCCACGTGTTCAAAAACTGAAGTTGACAAATTTAAGGTAAGGCTTTTTGTGTTTGTAATGTTATATCAATATGTTATGGAGCTGCAAATATATATACATCTCTCCATCGGGAAATGTGAGGCAGAGGAGCATAGGGACATGGGGCAGAGAGGGAGTGAGGCAGTGAGGCAGAGGGACATAGGGATATAGGGGCAGAGGGAAAGAGGGGCAGAGGGACATAGGGACATAGGGGCAAAGGGGCAGAGAGGCAGAGGGGCAGAGGGACATAGGGACATAGGGGCAAAGGGGCAGAGGGGCAGAGGGACATAGGGATATAGGGGCAAAGGGGCAGAGAGGCAGAGGGACATGGAGATATAGGGGCAGAGGGACAGAGTGAATGATGTGTCTTAGATCTGGTTTATTGTAAAATGACATTTATGAGTCTTGTTGACTCCTTGTGCTTGCAGTCCAGTGCAGGTTCAGAATGGAATCGATCACCTTCAGGTCTATGTTTTTACTCATTGATGAGTTCTCTTGTATGACCCATTAATAATTTACACAAATTCAATTAATCATTTGACTCTCGTTTGAAAACTATGTCACCAAACATGATTAATAGATGGCCACTTTCTTCTTTTCAAAGCGGCCACAGTCCTGGAAAAGAATGATGTGTATTTGTAAATGGCTTTGTCAAATCAATAACAAATAACATGTGTGTTATTTATAAAGATGAGAAAATAAAAATATCTGCATTTTTAATTGGCTTGGCATTTCTGAAAAATAGATATGACCTATTTTCCTGCACTTTCATGTGTTGGATTTTCCCCTGTGGCCATTATCGCAGAAAAGGAACCCCGCTTCTCAGAGTGCGTGTGTGATCTCAACCTCTTTCATAACTGCTCTACATACGCCGCACACTTGACTGCGACTTCACCAGGAGCAAATGGCATCAGCAAACACAGCCCACTGACATTTTGCAAACCAGGGCTAAGAATCAAAAAGGACAGCATCAGGCAAACCCACTGTAGTGACAGCTTTGAGACAAAATACATGAAATGGGGGATTCCTACATTGATGTGCATGCCTATGTTTTTCCTTATTATCCTTATTCATTCATTTCATTTGTTGCAGATGCAAACAATTATTCACAGAAATTAAAGCCCCCACTGAAAGATCTCAGCTCTGACTGTCACCCCCCCCCCCCCCCCCCCCCCCCCGAACTGGATTAAGGGGAAGATGGATGGAAGTATGATAATAAGAGAAAACAAGAAAACATGTGCATAGTTTGAAAAGAGAACGGTCGAAGCAAAAAACGCGTATTAATCTAATCCCCTTCAATCCAATCCTCTTTCTAGACATGACAGGAAATACAGAAATACAGAAATCAAATCTGTGAAGAGGGAAGAATTTCCACTGTCACTGGTGTTTTGTGGCATCATTTTCTATAGTGTCTTAAAATACCAACCATAGGCGAGACAAAAGCGGACTCTCAGCCTGAAAAGTTAGTAAATGTGCAGAAGTCATTGTGAACTGTCAGGGTGTGTGTATCACGGCATTTGTCCTGAGTTGTGTATCTTAATGAGCATGTCTTCTATCAAATCTCATTTTCATTGTTGGTTCCTCTCTTCAAACTCCAGGCGGCCAACATCCCTCTCGTCTGTGAGCTGGGCATTGATAAATTATCTTTTGACGATTTCTCTTTGGATGTGGACGCCATGATTACTGCTGCTTTACGAATGTTTATGGAGCTGGGAATGGTGCAGAAGTTTAAGATCGAGTATGAGGTGAGACGCACAGCTGAATTCTATCATATATTATTGTTCTTTCTCCGTGATCCCTATTTCTGCTCTCCCCTGCAGACACTGTGCAGATGGCTTTTGACCGTACGGAAAAACTACAGAATGGTTCTTTATCACAACTGGCGACATGCCTTCAACGTCTGCCAGTGCATGTTTGCTATGCTAACGGTAAAGGACCAGTGGGGGCGGGTCCCAGCTCAAAAGTGGCCAAAATGACGTGCGCTGACATGCTTGCAATACCACCCCGGGCCGATGGGGGTGGACCCAGAATAAGAATTAGCCAATGCTAACATATAGCATTGGCAGACCTCTCAAAAACGTCTTTACAGGATGGACCAAAAGTTGGCTCTTGGCCCAAAGCTCCGTTCCACATGTGTGTCAATGCTCAGGGGGGTGGATTTTTTTGGACCACTCTGGTTTAGTCGCTGTGAATTTTTGAAGTCTCTCGTTCAAATGAATGGGGCTCTTGCCGGCTGATGCATGCGCAGATGCAAATTTTCACAATTTTCTTGTGGGCGGGACCACTCGTGGCCATTTTGGATAGCTCCAGTAGAGCACAATTTTTGGCCTATTAGTTAGAACGGTGGAGATAGTAAGTAAGTAATCTTAATTTATATACCTTAGTGTGTCTTTTCACCTTTTAAAGTTGCAATCACGTGCCACCTGCATTTGAAAGCCTGATCAGACCTCAAAAGCTAAGCTGGGCAGGACCTGGTTAGTAACGTGATGAGAGACCTCTGGGAACACCAGGTGCCTGCAAGTTAAGATTAAGCGACCCTTTTAATGGTCCCACAGTTGGCAATTTTCAGTGTTAGTCATAGTTCATCAGAATTTTTTTAATATGCAAAAACTTAATTCGTCTCGACTCGTGGATCAAAAACACCAGATGTTAATTTCATAATGATCCCAGAAGACTGACTTTACTTTCCCGCAGTACCTTTAAAGCTCTGTGTCTGATCACGTGGCATGATCTCACACAATAACTACCCTGTTCGAAGGAAAAGAGTTGAACAGTAAAATGTAAGCTGTTTTCCCCCTTTCAGCTATTGTGCATATGTTTTAATAAGTGGTCTGTGGACGGTGCTATGGTTGCTACTATCCCCACTGTGACCCATAGTGACTCACTCAGCACATGGCCTCCAGAACCCATTCATCCAAGCCATAAATCTCTCTGCGTGGCTGCCATACTGCAGTCCCAGTGGCATTTCAGAGAGAGACTGTTTTTTAGGAAGATGCGCCTGTTTGACTGTTTTCCATTTTTATTCCCACTGTATAGTATATACAGCATTATCAGATCACAAAGTAAAATATGCTGCCATTGCACTGCTCTTTTTACAACTTTATTTCTTTCCTCTGCACCAATCAGACAGCGGGCTTTCAAGAAACTCTGACAGAGGTGGAAATCCTGGCTCTCATTGTGGGCTGTGTGTGTCATGACCTCGACCACCGCGGCACTAACAATGCATTTCAGGAAAAGTAAGCCCCCTTCTTACATATTAGAAGAGCAGAATTGTCAAAAGTAAAAGTAAGAATAATACATTTTAGTCTTATAGTCGTTATTTTTTGGTCAATTATATTCAAAGGTAGTGCAACAAAATACCACAACAATCCACCAAGTACAAGAGTAATACATTACATGAAAAAAACAACAGGAGTAAAATGAAGAAAAAAGTTTATAAACTCCTACCCCATTCTTATATGAAGACATTCACAAATTAAACGTCCTAACCGCCACCAAAAATACAAAAAATAATAGCTCAAACCAGATAATATCAACTTTCAGTATCATTGTAGTTCCCACCTCTATTATTGATAATGACAATAATAACAATGATTATAATAATGATAATAAAAAATAATAACAACAATATTCACATTAATTCTCTGTTTGTGTGGCAGGACAGGGTCGGCTCTGGCGTTGCTCTATGGGACGTCCGCCACACTGGAGCACCACCACTTCAACCACGCTGTCATGATCCTACAGAGTGAGGTGACACATGCACTATAATCTTTGTTTGTTTTTTTGTGGCTGTTATCTCATCACTATGGAGATGGCAGCGTTATATTCCACATAGCAACCACTGATATGGATTCTTATGATTATTTTATTCTTTCATAGCAAACAACATATTGTTACTTTGTTATTACAGCCCCTGGTGCACATTATTCTTGAGAACTTTATCATTTTGAGAACAGCTCTAACAAGAATCGATCATTTCTTTTTCGGCCCATACATTAGGAAAGCGCTGTTTTTGCCCAGTGTGCCCAAAGGCTAGCATGTGCGGCTCTATATGTGAATGAGCAAACAAAAGGATGGAGCTGCCTTCAGATCAATGTAATTACAGAACCCATGGATTTGGTGGTAATCGGTTGAGAGACATTTTACCAGGTGACTGCGCTCGCATGAGGCTGTAATTAAAGACATTGAGGCGGCAGCTGAGACGGGGCTTAGTGGGGTGGGTTCTAGTGCCTTCATTATCACAGTGCTGACAACACAGTAAGCTGACAAATGTTTGCTCGGAGTATCATAATGGCTTCTGTTGATAGCAGACCTGAACTACCAGCGTTCTATTTGCATATAAATGAAAAGTGTGGCTAATTTGAGAATGTTAGGAGGCTCACAATTCAATCCAACCAGCCTTTATAAATCCATTAATTAAGATTTCAAATACAAGACATCAGTCCCTTTGCGCTGTGGCCAAACTTCCCTCTGCCGGTTGCTCTATCTGAGTGCTTCCTGTGACGGAGGAATCCTTTATGTCTGGGCTGGTTCAATATTTAATGGGAACACTTGAGCTGATGACAGAATCACAGCTGCACACACACTCCATAGACTCGGACTGTGAAACTGTGGTCAATTTGCGGACGTTTTCTCGTCTTCATTTATTATCCGTCTATTTCTGTTCACTCTCCGTACAGCCTCTGGAGAAAGACTAACCACTGGATAAATGTATAATACATTGTGCCAGCGCGCCTCAAGTGAGAAATGTTTCTTACTTATTAAGAACATCTTCCTGCAGGACGGGAAGGACTTGCTATTGTCTCCTCCACACATTTAATGTTGTTATTGCACAAACTTCTGCTTCTGGTGCATGGACTCTTGCACCTGCATAACTCTCATGGGGCTAAAAGCGTAGCTTTTATTATAAGGTTCTATGGTTTATGACCAGTAAAACTTCATTTATTTAAGCTGGTCTCAACCTCTACATCTTGAGCCACTCTAACCAAATGTGTCCTTTTCTGTATAATTAGTGTAATACGGAAAGTTGCCAGAAGCAAGACATTGGTGTAGATGTGTTTCTGCATTCATGTCAACCTTTTCCACAAAATACTTTTTTTACACTCAGCTTATATTTTGACATCAGCTCTTACACCTGGAACAAAAGATTTGTACAAAGTAATGGTTCAGATTCAGATCAGATTCATTTATTTGCTATTTGCAGTAAAACCACATTGGAAAAACTGTGCAAGACTGCCCCAGTGTGCACCACGACACACACCAGAGCTCTTGCCACGGCGCCATGCGACGGCTGGCACTTTGACATGCATCTAAAATTCGTTTTCGTACAACAACAATATTATACAGATGCAGCTTCTTTCCACAAGCTGTAATCAGTTTGAACAAAGCACTTTTATGATCACTTTTACTTGCTATTTCATTAAACTGATTATGTTGTGTGATTTCACAGTGACAAATGTTTCTTGCACATTTTAGCTTGTGTTATTGATGTGCTTGGCTGGTGCACACTGGGGTATTTTTGCACATTCCAATGTGGAACTACTACAAATGCAATTGAAACTGAATGCTTTGAAAGCTTTTGGATGTTTGTTGTTTTAAATGCATTTGGTTGTTTTCTGCTCGTTCTACAGGGCCACAACATCTTCTCCAACCTGTCATCCACAGAATACAGCGACCTCATGCAGCTGCTCAAACAGTCCATCCTGGCCACCGATCTCACGCTCTACTTCGAGTACGTGTCACCAGCTCAGTTCCATCAGGGCCTCCATCAGGGCCTCCTCATGCATTATTATGAAGTCCACCTTAACAACCTGTTAGCTCAGACTTTTTTTGGCTGACACTGCCCCCGTGTGGATGTCATCGCATTTACACTTGTGTGATGTTTGCAGGAACAGGAACACTTTCTTTGAGTTGGTGAGTGAGGGAGACTACAACTGGAACGTGAAGGCCCACAGAGACATGTGCAGGTAATGAGGATCTGTAGAACGTTGATTATAGAATGGTCCTGTTGTGTTTTTCTTGAAAACACTGGTTTAGTTGTATTTGACTAACCAGAGTGAGAACAATTCTAACTATTGCATCATAAGATTGGATTACTGCTCCATGTATCAGTGGTTCATATTTGTGGCTCAGGTCCATGATGATGACGGCATGTGATCTTGGTGCTGTGACAAAACCATGGGATATTTCAAAGAAGGTCAGAAATGCTCTTGTTTCCTTTTCTGTGCTGATGACACAATGACAAGTGTTTGTAACGGTCTGTGTGCCTGTGGCTGCAGGTGGCTGAACTGGTGACCAGTGAGTTTTTTGAGCAGGGCGACCGAGAGAGATCAGAGCTGAAGCTCACTCCCTCAGTGAGTAGTCTCTGCTTCTCTGTGGACTTCTGTTGTTGATGAAGATGTCTCCTAACATACTCGTTCTGTGTTAGATCCATGAGAGTCTAGAGTGAGAAAGTGAACTGTCAGCTGCACCACTGGCTGCATAAAGCAAACTGCAGACTATGGAAAATCTTCTTTGAAAAAAAATGAAAGCACAGCGAATACTTAAAACAAAGAAGAGTTCAAATATTTCAGAGCTCGCCTTGTTAACAGTTCCTTCACATTCTGAGACAACATATGGAAATGTGTTTTGTTTAAAAAACTCCTATATCCAATATTTTAGGCTGGCTTTTGTCCACAATAACTGGTTTATGCCCAAAGATCAGCTATTGTCAAAGTCCAAATTATCAGATCTCAACCGCAGCAGGGCAGAGCCTGGTTAGTGCTGTGATGGGAGATCTCTGGGAACACCAGGTGCCACATTAGGGCGGCTGTAAAGTGCCAAACTGTTGTGTGTTGGCAAGACACACACCCAAATTGGAGAGTGTGTGTGTGTGTGTGTGTGTGTGTGTGTGTGTAGCCACTGTGTTCAGAGTGAATGAATAATGCCAAATGTGGCAGCGCGTCTCCTAACGTCACATGTTTATTCAGGCCTCCTGATTGCGTCAGACCATTAAACTGGGTGTGCAGCAGAACTGAAAGAGGAACTTTAAAGTGCTAAGTGTATATCTCTGAGGCACAGCTCCATGAATCCTTAATGGATTGGAGCCAGCACACTGGAGCAGAGAGAAGGGGATGATAATGAAAGTTACAATACTTTCCAAGACTATTGATTTAATGTTCACAGAATGATCGCACAATACTGATATTTATGCCTAATTTTTGCACTAAATTACCTATGAATCCCTCGTGTATTACAGGCCATCTTTGATCGAAACAGGAAGGATGAGTTGCCGGGGCTTCAGCTAGAATGGATTGACGGCATCTGTTCTCCGCTCTACACGGTAAGGCTCCACGTCTCACAGCCTCGACCTTGGCGTTCTCACATCCTCTTCCTCTGACATCAGCTTCTGTCCTTCAGCAGCTATTGTGCCGCACAGTCTCTGACGCCAGCAAGCAAACTGTCACCTACAGCGCCTCACTTTCCATTGTCACAAATGGGTTTTATTGAAAGCTTTGAAACAGTTCTGGATCATTTTCTTGTGAGAATAGTGAGAGAAGTGAAGAGTGTGTTTGTGATAGGAGTTCAGAGATAAGCTGGTTTTAGAATTTCCAAATAAACTACAAGATGAAGCTAAATGAATAGCATTAAGATTGTGGGATATTGAGCCTTTTGGCTTTAATGTTGTCTGTGATAGCACATTTTGGATCCATCAATGGGAATCCATACACTGGCCTCATCAAGTATGTGCTTTTCTGAATGACGTCAAAGCCTGAGCTGCCCCCTCCCATCCGCCGCTGTGTGGGCGGCAGGAGAAGAAAGCTGACTTACTGAGCCCTGCTAAGATGGTTGGAGGTTAATTTATGAAAGGAGCTGTAAAAAAACAGTCAAGGACAGAGCGCTCCATACACTTCTCACATACAATAAAAGATTAGGATTAGGGAATTTGTCATGCTTTTAGTCAAGATATATAATATTTGTGGTGGTGAATGTAATGTTAATAACAGAAGCATCAAAGCTCTCTGTGTTATCTGCATGAGGGCTTCCACACTATCACAAAGCTACTGCCAAATAAACTCCAGCAAAACGGGGAAGAAGAGAGGAGCTTCAGAGGCTTTGGTCTGTTCTGATCTCAGCTCTGGTGATGTTCCCTCACTTTGTTGAATAATAATCCTTTAAGACACGTCTCTTTCTGTAGGTCGCAGCTCACAACTGATATTGAAAACAATAACAATGTAGACAAATTTTAAAATTGTTACTTGAACAATCAGGGGAGCAAATTTCAGTCTACTGTCAGATAGGGTCATTGTGAGCTTTGGTTCGTGACCGAGTCCAATGGACGGAAAAGAGGACAGTTTACAATTGTAACCTGTGCTAAACTGCGTCAGAAGGAAGCAATAATTATCTGTATGAAAAATTAGTTAATGTCTAATTTTGAGTGGAGATAGAATAGAGTCCTCATTGAAAGAGTTTGTGGTTTATTTGGTGTAGTGTGTGACATTCTCCATGCAGCCCCCACTCATGGAAACCATTCACACAAAACTCTACATCGACTTGCAGCAAATGAAAATCAATTGTGTGCAGATGAAGTGTCATATGATTATTAACACAAGCTCCAGTAATTACAGCATTATAATTTAGTTTAAACTGTACATGAAGATGTGACATTATAGTTAGAGTGAACCACCCACACTTGTGTTTCCATTCTCACTGTATTTTCAGTTTTTGTCCCCATAGAAATCATTGTCAGTTAAATAAAAATAATCATTAATGAATTAACATAGCAAGTTGGTTGCCTAAAATACATGTAATATATTGACAAATGAATTGTCTAGATAGACAACCAAAGAAATACAATGGCATGGTTCATAATGCTGTTCAGAATACTCATTTTGAGGAACTGCATTCAGAATACAGTTAATTTCAAATAGTCACAACAGAATTTAAATGCAGGTATTGTAACAAAGTATTCTCGCTGCAAATAAGTAGAATCATAAAGTAAATGTCTGTTATTCTAAAGGTTGTTTCATCTTCAAAGCGCAGCCGCAGGGTTAATGAAACAATGGAGTAATGGCACAGAAGTGAGCACCAACAGTGTTCAGAGACAGAGCATGTATTAGAGGTGATACTCGTGCAGCTCGTACCTATGACTACAGGTCGGCCCTAATCTGAGCTTGCCATGTGCTGTAATCTGCACACTGCACACACAGCTGCTTCATTGTGCTGCTTTATGTTTGCCCCAAGTGCCTCTGATGAAGGCTGCTCTGCTGCAGATGCTACATTGTTCTTACATGTTTGTGTTTGATTTTGTATTTTTTCTGTTCCTCTAGACTCTGGTCAAGTTGAATCCTAAACTTCAGCCAATGCTTGACATGATCCAAGCAAACAGATTCAAATGGGAAGAGCTAAACAAAAAGAGACAACGCGGCCAGAGCCTCTCTGTCCTGGCTGCCCCCTGCAGCGCTGACACCACTGAAGCAAGTGGGAGCTCTGGAGCTAAAACCAGCTGCAGCAGCACCAGCATCAGCACCAGCATCAGCACCAGCATCAGCATCAGCACCAGCACCAGCATCAGCACCAGCATCAGCACCAGCACCACCAGCAGCGGTGCATGTTGCAGTGGTGCTTGTGAAAGCACCCTGAAACCTGTTAGTTAACTTCTGCTGGCCTCACGCTTTGGTCCCAGAGGCATTCTGTAGTGAACACACAGCAGTTCATGAAGAGGTTCTTGAGCTCTGCTCCTCGCTTTTGCATCTATGAGCTTTAGACCTGAGGGCAGTGCTGTGAGTTATGCTCCCATCAACCTGAGGCTGAGGTTGAAGTAGAGGCTGAAGTAGAGGCAGGCTTATGGGAGATAGACACTGATGACACAACGTGATGAACACTTATACTACTATCACATGTCAACAGTGATCCATGGCTCCTTTTCTGAGCATTGCACATATTTTCAGCACAACAAATGAAGAATACTGGAGAGGATGGCTTGCATTACGTTTGCTATTCGCACTTTGTGTCTTGTATAGGAGTTGTTTTTTGTCAACGTGTATATAGGCTACTGAAAATGACTTATTTGTTAGTGGTTAAAATGTACTCTCGGGATTGCAGTTTTGATTGTAATGGCTGGAGAAGTGCAGCAGCCGCAGGACCTACATGTACGACAGTGCTTGCAACAAAGTGAGTGTTCTTTTCCTTCCCCTACTGTGCCTTGCCTTAAGATTCCAATGAAAGATGCATGGCCTCACCAGGATTCATAAGCAGAAGATGATCCATCTTGAAATCATGATTTTGACACAATTTATAAAATCAATTACCATAATTTGGTCAGACAACAGTTTTATAATGACAGTGTCTCTTCACTCTGAGACAAACTCAATGTGCCTTTGGAACATCTATGACCCTCTTTCTCACTAGAATAGTCCCCTCTTTAGAAAACACTTTTGGACTTTTTTTAAAGTTCACTAATGCTACAGCAGCCTCCACACCCACTCTCTTGTGTCCTGTAGTATTATTAGTCTGTTTGAAAGAGTGTGCCCTATGCCTTGCGTTGTAGCCAAATTGAAGTTGTTCACAATGTGTGGCATGGTTCTTGTGCTGCTGGTCTTGATTTCTACAATTGACTTCCACAGTTGAGTTGCATGCTTGTATTGAACCCAAAGTACAGTTTGTAGGATGTAGCAGTCCTGTGAACCGACAAATACCTCATATTTTAAGCTTCATTTAAAGATGTTGTACTCTCAAATGCATGATTTCAACTCTTATTGCATCAAGTATAAATATTGTTGTTCTATTTTTGTAATACATTTCTTATGTGGCCACGTCTCTTTGCACACTCACATGCAACTATCTATTCTTCCTTGTTTGGACTCGGGATTTATTTGTAGTGGGCGCAGATGAGCTATTCAAGGCATGAAACGGCAATGTGCAATGTTTAGAGAGACTTCAAATAAAATAGATCTCTACGCTTGTACCAGTGTTGTACTTTATGCTCAATTCCCTTCTGGAGGTGTTATTTCTTATTCTGTGGCGCCCTCGTGTGGAAAAACGACTCAATGAAGTCCCGTGATGTCTATTCTTTCAAACATCATGTTCATAGTTTATACAGGAGCATTGCATGATGAGCTTTGCAAAGAAAACTAGTTACTTTGATGAATGAACTACTCATTCCCATTTCTCAGTCACATTACGCACATGTATCCACACTGGCCCTGAGGTTTGTCAGTGACCTAAACGCGGCGTTTGCAGATGATAGGGGGCGCTGACGTCACTGTGGGTGGGCGTGTGCGTGGGCGAAGATGACTGCTAAATAAGCGCGTGTAGTCAGGAGGAAACAAAGGGTCTGGATCTCGCTGAAACAGGGGAAAAAACACTGACAACTACAATGTAATGTGATGTGGCAGCAGCAACCAGGAGATGAAAAAGAAAACTGAGGAAACCCATCTATCACACAAGTTTGAGTGTTTATTGCACAAATAGCTTTGACAAAATGCATGTAACATTGTTAGAGAAGTGGAAAGCTATAGGTTAACATAATGACTCTTACTAGTCACATTTGACATGAAAGTATCATTTTCTTCATACAGAACCAAAGTCATTGAAAGCTGGGATGAAAAGTTTACCATATTTATCAGATTAAATTGACAAATGATCTACTGTGAGTTTGCATAAGTGCTGTTCCAGTGTGTGATGATGGGGATCATGCACATATTTGGTACAGCAGAGCGCCAGGATCACAGACCTTCACTCCCAGCTCTCACTGAAGCAGGCAGGACTCGCTCTTCATGGCTTTTTCCACTTCACTTGGTTAGTAACAAACCACGCCATGTTTAAGTACAAAAACTATGCACAAACGGTCAGTGCAAGGGCTACACATGGTCCACAAAGGTCAATAGAACAACAAATGCACACAACAATCCCAGGAAAAAGACAGATATTAGAAAGGCACAGGGTTTCGGAGAATATAGAACAAAAGTATATATTTCTGCAATCTTACCATATTTGAGAAGTATTAAATCTGAAGATGTTTCTCCTCATTTAATTCGGAATTATGAAATCACATCCAGTCTTGAACACCCCCCAAAAATAAAATAAATTGCATGATTTCTGATGAAAAAAAAAATATTTATTGAAGATTATCAGGAATAGTTGTCATACCTATTTTTGTATACATATCAATGCTTAACACAATGACGTTCTTCCACCACTGAGACTTAAAACAAGGGGCTCTCAGTAATTATTGGCAAGAAATAGGGTTAAATATAAACGTGCAAAATCTATTATTGGTGAAGTTGTGTAGCAGCCACAGTGATGGAAAAGACGACCTAATGACAGCTGCATTATCTGCACAGTCTGAAGGCCATAACAGTAGAAACATATACATTTAAAGAACATTATTACAGCATATCAAGTGCAATGTTATAAAATAAGGTTCTGGTTAATCAATAAATGGCACCGGTGACATTTTGATGAAAAAAAACAGGTCTCTGCCCATTTGGAGTTCACCGTCAGACTTCACCAATATGACATGTGGTTAGTAAAGGCGGGTCAGTGACAGAAGTTACAGGAGGTTCCTGTTGCCAAAGATGTTATTGGGGTCAACGTAGTCCTTCACAGACTTGAGCATCCCCAGACCCACATCGGAGACAGTCGCTCTCATCCACTCCTTACGAAGTTTCCCCACTAAACGACAGAAAAAAATAAATAATGAAACAACTGGAGGAAGAAGACCGAAGGGGAGAAATAGAGGAATGGGCACGGCTGATTGCTCAGCAGGCTGCCGGGAGCCAATCAATCTTTCGAGAGTGAGTGAATAAACAGAGGGTGATAAATGCTTTTATTCAGGGAGGAGAAATGTTTTGCATGGCATGATTTATGGAGCTCAGCAGACTATCAAACTCATTAGGCTGTGTGTGTTCCCAGAGGAGGGGCAGGCTGGAGCGGGATGTCCCCTGCCATCTCTCGCTCTCTGCCTTCGCTTGCATCTGTCCCCTTGTGTGCTCTGGGGCCCCCAGACCTGACCTGGGAGGGCTGCACATCAGTTATGCCCCACCACACACAACCCATAACCACGAACTGTGGCCCAGGCCCAATAATACTGCAATTACCTGGACATAATGGTGCTGTTAAACCATGTTAATACAGTTATTTGACACACGAAAGACTACAGCGGAGATGAGGGACTGAAGTGGTTTCCATTTTCTCAATACAGTTATTATTGCAACTTAACCCCTTAGATGCCAACATTTTGGGGTGGGGGGTTGGGGTATCCTTAACTCTGGGAATAAAGGGAGTAATGCTTTTTAAAAGTAATTTTTCTTAATACTTTCAGAAAACTCTCTCTACCAGACGGTTTCTGGTATGTGTTGTATCATTCTTTGGTGTCTTATAGTTTTGGTTTTGTCTGGCCCTCTGTCAGACAACAGCTGCTGCCCGTCACAGCTCTGCACCCCCTGAGCTCTCAGCTGGATGCCTCAGATATGCACAGGTCTGCACAGGTCTGCACTAGACTATGGAGGAAACAACCTTCACTATTCTCTTAACAACAGGCAATCGGTGGTAAAGGTCTTTAAATACATTATTGGCGACACCTGTTGGCCTATACATTGTAGTAGTAATAATCCATCTGCCAATTTTATGTAATAAAAGTGAACACAGAAACAATGATAATATTTGCATATTCACTGTTTAGTTAAATCTGTTCTTTTAAGGGTTTGATGTTTACAAGATAACCAAAGTGATGTCTGCATCAGAAGGACACACACACAATAATACAAATAGACACTTCCACTACATGTTAATAGAAGTGTCAAAGTATTTTTGTGAGAATGAAGTGGCCCTAGAGGAGGCTGTAGAATGCAAAAAGGTTGGATTTATCACATCACAAAGCACAACGGAACATCCACACATTGACAATAGTATGATTGTGTGTTTCTGAGCCCTGGGAAGCCCATATTAATGGGTTGTGCTGATACTTGATGAATGAGGCAGGACCAGCAGGGAAACCCCAGATGGAGATCAGCCACGACGCTGGGGAGGCCAGTCTCCTGACACCGGGGCAGACAGTGGGGTCACTGCAGAGCACACACCTCCAGATGGTGACGGAAACCAATCGGCTGCTGCCCACTAACTACAACTCTACCTCTGGGTTCATTCTGGTCCCACCTCCTTCCCTCCCTCCTCTCACCAAGAAGAGGGAAAACAGAAGGTTTTTCTACTGCATCATTGCCTCCATAACAGTGATAATTTACACATCTATCTTGTCATATTCTCTCTTCTTAGAGTCCTGTTGCAATCAATCTCAGCAGCGTCGTCTGCACCACAGAGACATGCAAAGAGTTGCAGGTAGTTATTCCTGCAATGACAGATTTCTCTCTTGAGTGGAGAAGCCAAGGGAAGAGCAAGAAGACAAAACTTGACAAAAATGGGCCTGTCCAAAGTTCAGAAATTTGTCAGGACTTACAGCGACATGATTGAATACTACAACAGCCAACTGTGGTTCTGGTGCCACGGTAACAACAGAGACTGCAGAGAGTGGGCCCTGATTCTCTGAAGCAATGACTTCATTGACAAATGGACACTGGCCATGAAAGACGAGCTACAACAGTGACCGGTGATATGGGAGAGGTTAAAACACTCTGTACTGGCCTGATAGATGGAAGACTTCCAACTGACGAATGTTTAACAACACCAGCAACAGCAACACTGCCCTAGACGACAACATAGCTTCACCTTAAAAACATCTGTTTTCACTTATCAAAGGGTTTGAAAAACAATTACAACCAGAGACCGTCAGCCGATCATTCTCTATGGCCAAGTGCACTGGGGCCTCCTGTAAACACATGACCACATAAATGTGTATTTCCGGCGCTTCCTCACACCTCTCCTTCATTGACTACAACGCTTTTTGTATGATACACAAAACCCAGTGAAACTAGCTCCATTTGTCAAGCACTGATTGTGGGCAGACAAACCAGGCTGTCTGTGGCAAGATAGCAAGGCCCACTGTTATTAATCACAATTACAGAGTGGGACCCGAACACAGGCGCTGCATCAATATCTCCTCCTCTCCCCCTGACAGCGCAGAGCAGATCGGGGTGGCCTGGCCACCGTTTGGAGGTCACTATACAGCCACTGATAACACTGGCATCATTTACCGCAGCCCACTGCCTCCTTTTTATTAGCAATCTTTTAATTTTGAACCCGTCCCCGCCTTCAGGAAAAATTGTGATTTAATATTGCAGCTGATTCACTGCATACTGTTTTTGACAGGTGTGATGAATAGCCTGAAGTGATGTATGAAAACAGCGAAGCGGATGGCAATATAGATAAAGCAGCCATTTCGGTTAGGCCTGATGGGAGCTGCAGAGTTGTCCCACACCACCACCTCACGTTTCATTTGGCCTCTGCTGAAATGAACAAATGAGCAATTCATCTGCACTGCAGAGTAATATTTTGGACATGTAGCGGTAAAAGGTCTCCATCCACATTTACACCAACATAATCCCATTTCCCTCCCAGATCAACATACTCTTTAATTATAAAGACACAGTTTAAAGAGAAGCAGCCATAGAAATGAGTTGAAATACAGTTGAAATACAAACTAAATACCTCCATGATGATGTGACAAGCTCCCTCCGTTGGCAAGAATCTCCTCTCGAGCTGCATGCTGAACACAAATAAAACACATTTAGTTTTATAATTTCAAGGTGAATAAGTGAGGATACATTCCAGTTAAACATGTGAACAAGTGAACCTACCTCCACTTGTTCGAACACATGAACGGGATCACCGAGTCCTCTGTAGTTAAAGGCAAAATAAAAGTAGACACAAGCACCAGCGTCATAAGTCTGAGTGACCCTGTAATCAAGAAAAAAATACTTAATGAGAGTCTGTACTAATAAGATATCAAATAAGCCAATAATACCTTGAATCAAGTGTTTTTTAAAATTGAGAATAGTGTGTAAACAAGATTGGAGACAAGCGGTTTAAGTCTCATTTTAAGTACATTTCTCGTCCCAAGGGAGAATTTTCTTTTAGAGAGCTTTTTAGCTGTATTTATTGTCACTTTTTGCCGAGTATCAATGACAGATGAAAATGAAGTTTAACATTTAAAATTCAAAGCTACTTTGCTTTGCATTAATTGAGCCTGGGCCGGCCCACCGCTGAGAGGTTGGCAGCAGACCCCTTGTTTGATTTGACATGGCCCATCACCTGGCACACCGACTCTTCTCGAGGTTAAATGGACAAATCAATCATTTGACAGACTGCAGCCGGGAAATGAATGGTGCAGTATAATCAGAGAGGCCCAATCCTCGTTGCATATATCAGCTTTAGAGTTTCAGAAGTGGTCGCAGGGCCAATACAATATTTGATACCATTTCACCTTTTCACAGGTACAAGTACTACTGTACATGTATTAAGTCTTTTCTCAGGACATGATTTGTTTCTGAGACTGCATCAGATAACAGTTGAACGCTTAACCAAGATACCTGCAAGTGGAGAGTGGAGGAAACTGCACTCCTTTGTCTTTACACTCTCGAACAATGCAGGCTTTTACATTTCTGCAAATGTCCAAAACCCTGAAAAATAAACATACATTTATTTTATTTGGAGAAAATGCTGAAACCCTGACTCTTACATGCAAGTCATGGGAACAGAAGTATAGAGAGAGAAAACAGCAGCAGCAAGAGATGAACATAAAACACAATGTGGGGGTGAGGTTCCTACTGGAGTGAAAATGGCCGCCAGTGCTGAGCATGTGCAGTGGAGTGTGTTGTGTGGAGGAGGGGGGAGGGTAATGAGGCGGACACAGGCGCCTGCATCAGTGGCTGATCTCTGCTCTCTCCATCAGCTGAGATACGCCACAAGAAACGCTCTACTGACTGCTACATGTATGTTCAACACAAGTCATACAAGAACACTTGGGAAATTGAACAAGTATGAAGGGAAAAGGGACAGTGGACTATCAATGACGACATATACATGACTTCTAAAAGAGTGTAAGACACAGATAAGGAAACTACTGAGAATTATGGAAAAGAACTATTTGTAGAGCTGGTCCATTTACATACCTGTCCCAAGGCACAGAGGTTTCAAATGACTCTCCAATTACATAATAATCCATGCCCAAGTCCTGAAAAAACAACAAGAGTTTGTGAGACCGTCAATCAATAGAATTTGATGCACAGAAAGCTCCCTAAAGAAACAAAATAAAAATCTGTTTGTTTTTTTAATGTAGCCAATTATGAACATGATTGAACATTTTTAATAGATGGATGTTTTTTTTCCCCCAAACACATTATTCCTTGAAAAAAATCAATTGCAAGGATCTCCACTAGGGAAGATCCTTCTGCTCTACAAGATGACAGGGCTTTTCAGAGGACCCAGTGTCATGCTCTACATTCTAAACTCAACAGCCTTTTGTGATTTGGGTTGCTCCCACTGAGCGCTGTGTGTGAAGTGGACACCTGAGTGACAGACTGACATTTACTGTGACCACAGCACCTCAAAGAGAAGCTCCGTCTCTCACTCTGTGACCATTTGTGTTGTGCAGAAGGATTTCTGCTGCAAGAGCTTGACAGGATTGGACACTCCCCAAATGTCTGTCAAAAAGCGAGTGTAGTGACCCACCCGAAGGTACGCGATGACGAAGGTCAGCATGTAGCCCCTCTGCCCATTGTCCTCCCCAGCTGCCAGGCCCCTGTGAGAAGATAACAGGCTTAATATTTAACAGAACTTTCTTTCAGCCTCGTCGGCGCCACCACTGCTTGTTTTAACAACTGCCAGGAGCCTGTCAATCCCACAATGATTGGATCAATGGTGCTATGCTCGGTTCGCCGCTACAGGGCAGCCACACATCCATCACCTGTAGTGTATAATCAAATTTTCATCAACCTCCCAAACTAATCAGGGCAAGCTCATTAGAAAATCACTTTATTGATTTTTACCCTTCCTTTTGCTTCCTAACTCCAGGAAAACATTTCTCACAACAATAATCTATCACTGACACTTATTCTGATAGGTGACAATATCTGATCTGAAACAAGTCCAGTTCTCTGCAGAAAACAACGTTAATGGTTTTAGGACTCAGGCAGAAAGCAACTATTTTCTATTGTGTGTAAGTTTGTGAACAATGACATTTAAAAGATTTAATAACAATTATTGTCATTCCCATATGGAAACCATATGCAAATGTTTAATTTCAGATGCAACATCAAAGAGAAAGGAGTAAGTCGGAGCAAACTGTACAAACTAAAACGTTTGAGGGAGGTTCAAACCTCAGGCACAGGTCCATTCAAGGGGAGGCATTCATATTTAAAGTGTGTTTGTAACAGTGAAGGCCATAAAAGCCCTAGCCAGCAGCAGAAAATCAGCTCTGGACTTTTGAACAGGCAACAATAGTTTCTATGGTTAACACATGTTACATTATTATTGTGACTAAAAGATTTGGACAGGATAACATTAAATGTTTTTAAGCACTTGAGTAATAAAAACAAGAAAACTGCACATGCACCAGACAAATAAGCGTGACAAACTATTTAAGGCGTAGAAAGTTCTTCTAATTAGACGAAAGTGTAAAGAAGCTAGCGCTGCTTAATTAACAGTCTGAGGGTCAGACGAAGGCGGAAGTCTACCGCCGAAACATGTTGGGTAATTACACTTACACGTTTGTCTTATTAGAAGAACCTTCTAAGCCTTAAACATTAAAAGACACAATAAACATTTCTCTACAAAATATTAGTTAAAAAAATAATGACACGAGACATACCCAAATTTTGCAGCAATGTCGTAAACCTGTTTTTCATGCTGCAAGACCTTCTCACGGTTGCCCTCAAACAACAGGGTGGCCACACACAGGCGGTCGGGGTCAAAGCCTTTGAACTGCACGTTTGAGAGAAAGATTCATTTGTCATTTAGCTACATCACAGACTTGTCAATACTGGATTGAAAGCCGCTTACCTTTGTGATGTAGAATTTTTTCAAGCCATCTAAAAATGATGTGAAAATGGAAGATACTTGGGGTTTCAGTGCATGACCTGTTAAAACATTAGTCAAGGGAAATAGTAAGACACAATTGACTTTTGGAATTGAGTAATTAGGCTGAAATCGTCCTGGAAAAGATTATTTAATACACCTCTAACTCTTAACTAAAGAGGGGAACAAAATAAACTATTATTTAACTAACTTTAACATCTACCAGTGACAGTCAGTGACACCGGCCATAAATCAGAGGGTTTCCGAAGGGAAGTGTGTGTGACATACTGGAATCAGTCTTCCTCAGCCACAATTTTTGATTTATCCCTGATCGGACACTAAAGTGCCTGTGGACAAGTGAAAATGAGGCGCTTGGGCCAATGGGACGACAATCTATCACAGCGGGGTAGTCACGGCGATCTTACTGAGCTTAACACTTCATTTGTCCCCCCAATGCTAATGTCTCTTTGTCACTTAGTATCCTAATAGTTTTCATTCCAGAATGTTATTGGCTGTTATGGTCTATGCTGCTATAAGAGGCAACAATTGAATACTCAACCATGACTGGGGAAGAAAACCTACATTTTGCATTATTTCATTTTATACATTTTCTTTTGAGAATGTTTCATCTTGTGCACATCAAGTTTCTGTTTGCAGCAGCTCCTGTGATTGGAATGACGGAACATTCCTCTAATAGGGCCGTGAAGGTGTTGGAGAGCCAGGGTTTCAGTTATTAGTGGAAAACCATGCCACTTCATCTTCCCTACTTAATGCCACAAAGTGCCTACTCGCAAAAACTGAAATATGGGAGAGATAATGAGGTCCACAGAGACAGGCGAACTTTACGGAAATCTTTGGCCAAACCAGATGCTCCCAATCATTATAAAACTGTGTAAACAATTGTTATATTTTGGCTAAAGTCATTTGTCACATTTCTCAAATTATGTCTAGGTTTCAGAGGTACATCACTTTACTGCCATTTTCAACACAAAATCGTAAACACTATATTAATACTCACTATGTTGACACTCAAAAACATGCATTTAAAAGAACCACACAAATGTATTAGTTTTAGAGCCTCTTCGTCTGTGTTTAAGCTGTTGTGTGGTTTGAGTAGCCACAGCATTAGCTTTAGCCACATGACCTTTAGCCACGTTAGGAATCTATGGTTTGATCTGGAGCTGGTTGCTTGCAGGGGACGTCAGTGCCTGGATCTTTTCTACAAATGTGTTACTTCATTGATTGACTGACTTGCGGACACTGGAAAGATGCCAATATTATTATCTGATCAGGAAATGGTAATAATCTTTTTGTCTTTATATGACGACAGTTTGTATGGCTACATTGAATTTTGTTTTAGATCAACAATAACCTAAAATGTCATTACGAAATGCAAGGTTATTTTGAGCATTTATACAACACAAGGCTTGATCGGCTGCCCTTTATGTATGACAGTATCGTTTGATAGTACTGTTTTGTGACAGGAAACTCACCAAATTTAAATTGTTCATTATCCATAAGTCGTATTGACGCTGGAGCACATCTCTGCACAAAAAAGAGATTTTGTGTTAATATAATTCATAATTGTGCCCATATTCTGTACACCAGTCTCATGGAAATGTTAAAATACATAATATTATGTAATAATCTAGTATGTAATAATATAGAGTGTAGTATTTTTTTCTGTTAACAATTTAAATAAAAAAGATATTTAAAAATAAATATATGAAGCTGGCAGACATGTCAGTGTAGTTACTCTCGTCTCTGTGCAGCACTTGTTTTATAAAACTTGCTATATTCATAGTGGATTGGACTGGATTGAGGAAGCAGTAGATGGCACAAATAAGACTTCAAACCTGTCTGGCCACTTCTCGTAGACAGGCAACACCTTGCTCAAAGTTTGGAAATACAACGGATCCATATTTCTGGTACTCTGGCACGGGCCGGATCTTCAGAGTGACTTCAGTCACCACACCCAGAGTTCCTGTGGAAAATGGGACACATGAGCCTGAAGGAGAATGAACAGGAATCGTTTGTTTTACAAGTTTTTTGTTTGTTTTTACGATACTTTGTTACATGTCCCTGGGGTTAGATTTGACCTGTGTCTCACATTTCACTCTCTGACAGTTTTTTCTACCAACACAATGTGGATATTGTTCATCAGCTAACAAGTACAGATCAGTGGTCTGGACTGTCTGCCCTCAGATCAAACTGCAGAATTGTACCTATGCCACTATTATGAAAATGTGAAAACTTTCTGATTTAAGCTTATGATGCAAAAACTCAGGACAAACACCACATGCTGCCGCCTAGTGGCCGAAAACACACAAGATTGACAGGGTCACTCCTCCCCACTGAAAGCAGAGGAGGAGCTAAAAGGAGGGAGGAGACCTCGCCCTCTCTCTCTCCTTCTATAACACCCCTCCTCCTTTAGTTTGAGGAGGCGGGGTTATGAAGATCAAGATTACAAACAACGAATGGGAATCGAGAAATCAGTAATATTACGAAATATGTGGAGAACTTTTGAAGCAAAAACAAAAAAAATCTGGGTGCTAATAAAGCAAAACTCAAATTAATGCCATTAGAGGAAAAAGTAAATTAAACAAATGTTAGTTTTAAAGTAAGCCCTAGTCTACATGGTAAATGAGTGCTGATCTCGTAAGGATTTTTTCTTTTCAATGTCTTGGAATTTGTGAAAAGTAGGCCATTTGTTTCTGAAACGCTGCATGACCCTAGTATCGGATCTATGTACAGTCTAAAAGTTTTCATTTACCCTAAAAACGAATAGATAGCAAACCGCCATTTTGCCCGTTTAAGTCACTCAGATTTAGAGTAATGTGAATAAATTGATATTTCTGCGACTGCCCAAAGATGGCCTGGGAGCAGATTGTTGAGCTTTGTAGGGCGAATAAAAAGTTTGTGTGCACAGCTGTTTCAAACAGAGATGCCAAGAGTCTCAATATGCTCATTATGTTGTGGGGGACCAGGCATATGGCAGTATCCTCCATGGGCACTCCCAAGGACAGGGCATCGGAATGGGATAGGGAGGACATTTGCTGGCGCTGAACAAAAAGCATTTTTACCACGTCTAGTTAATATGTACCAGCCTATGAGAACACATCAGGTGTTACTAGTTATCAGATACAAACACTACAGACGACATCAAGCAACAGAACATGTGCAGCCGCATTAGTCAAGTCACACACGAGTCCACAAACCTTCGGAGCCCATTATGAAGTGGTGGACATCTGGGCCGGTGGACATTCTGGGGCCCTGACAGCTCTTCTCTATCACACCTCGCGGGGTCACCATCTTTACATGGACCACCTACACAGAATTAGACATTAATCTGTCAGTTTTTAATGCACCTTAAAGACATATGAAAGCGATAAAATGGGTATAAGGCATAGGGGCAGAGAGGTTCTGGGGGTATAGGGGACAGAACTGAAACAAATTAAACTTCTAAAATCCATCAGGTATCAGTGCCATTTAATCACTTCTTTTGTGCGTTTTTTCTCAAAATATTTTCTTTCTCTTCAATTGTTTATTTTATCATTTGGAGCCAGTATTAATCACAATACAGAGACACTAATGCAAACACCACACTCTCACATATGATCTTGCTTTTGTATTGTATGTCAGTTTTTGTTGCCACTGTAAATTGTACCGTTCTGTCTTGTGTGTTGGTGTTTGGTATTTGATTTATAATTAGTGAATAATACGAAACTGAACAAAAAGAATAATTACAACAAATCAATATTACAACTAGTTTTATGGTAGCATTTCTTAAGCTAAATTTGTATTGTGGAGCCACTTTGAGTTATCTTTGTCTAAAATCCATAAATGCACGTTTCAAGAGTTCATGTTTTTACCAGATCTTCAATATTGCCGTATATGTTCTTCTTCATGCCGGATGCTCTGGTCGCCACCCAACCTCCTAAGGAACTAAACTCCATAGAGTCAGGCTCGTGCCCTGTGCAGTAGCCGCTCTCATTAAGCTGTGGAAACACACAACTTGGAATCAGTAAAAGCCATAATTGCTGAGATAGGAATGATTCAAATCCACAAGAATGTTTTAATAACAAGCAAGAGGGTAAAATAATGGTGGTAACTGTGCTCCATGCAGGGTTTCGAAACTCCAACTCTGGGTTTATAGCAGCTCACAATCTCAGTCAAAAATACACCAGCTTTACAGAACATGTTTTCACAAGTCATACAGATTGTGTGTTTGAACATGAAGCTGCAATTGCATATGTAAAATTAAGCTTCCAAACGGCGCTCATTATCTACTACACATCTGGGTTACTTGAATGCAATCATATTATGAGATGGACACTTTAAGGAGATATGCAGGCTTCTGAAGTCAGGGTAATATAATGTCCTGGGGCATTCATCTCACCAGGAGGTAATGCGAGAGTGTGTTTTATGACATCACTCCAAGTACTTTGGAATTCAGATCCATCTGCTCCATAAAAGCAGTGGAATGGATGCAGAGGTGGGATAATTTGAATGCAACTCACGCTTTCTCTACACCACAGACCTGCTCCTTCTCTATTTTTCTGAATTAGCGTGATGGTGCCATCTGCTCATGACTGAAGCTTAGGTCCCTAATCTCCACCACGCTGCCCCAAACTCAAAACTCACATACAAGGCCAAGGGCACGTATAGCTGTAAGGGTTTGTGTCAAAAAGGATAAAATATAAGCTTCTTTAGTGGATTAAAATTGTATACAAGTGCTTACCAGTCTTTCCAAATCCTGACCTACAATGCCAGCTTCGACATGGGCGGTAAGGTTTTTCTCATCGACCCACAGGATGCGATTCTAAGAGATAAGAACATTTTATATACATTGTTAACAAAAAAACTTGAATTCTAGGTGCCAATACAACTCTATGGGGAAAAATAACATTATGCGAAAAACATTTTGGGAAAAAATAAATCCCAGATCATTCTAGTCATTAAAGTCTGAAAGTCCTTTGTACATGCCAAAGGCATATGTTATTTAATTATTGTCATCACTTCTACACACTTCATGAAAAAATAAGTAGTTCATAATTACAGACAAAGAAGAAGTTAAATTTTGTGAAAGCTTTTGTTTCATGTGGATTTCCCCAAGAATTAGAGACACTTGCAAAATCTGACTTGACAGTTACCATGGTTGCCACAGCCAGGAAATATTTTTTAACCCTAACCCAAAACAATATTTAACTGTAACAAAATGCAATGTTGATCAAAGGCATCAGATTAGGACAGATCGCTCTAAAGGAGGGAGAAGATAATACCACTACAGGTACGAGGAAATGGGGTAAGGGCCTTTACACAGGAGGTCATTTTACACCTTCCATCCATTATTTTCAAGAGGTAATAAAGTTTATGCCCAGCTCCTTTCATGTGCTTCCTCTGGAGTTACCGGACCCCTGACCCCTGACACAGAACAGTGACCACTGGTGTGCAGGTTCCACAGTCCATATGAGCAGCAGGACAGCGCCTGATAAATCTCTTCTGTGTGCACCACCATCAAAGGCCCAAGCACAAAAATTCACCATTTTATTAGAACTCACAAATGTAAAAGCGCCGGGTACATTGCGTACCTATCACTTACTATCAAGAAACAAGCATACATGTAAGTCATTCATTTTGTGCAGTATTTTCTTTCTTTTAATAAAAGCACTCACCAATGAAAATACCACTATTAGTTTTTAATCATATCACTGCCATTACTTACCATCTGAGAAGTGTCCAAGGACACAATGGAGCGAGTTTCCTCTGAGGGGCACTCTAGAGCACTGGAAACGCTTGTCCCTCCTAGCAAAGACAAGAGGTGTACGGTTGAGTAAAGGCTTTGCAGTAGAATATTCAGCTATACGAGTAATACGGCAAGAGGACGTCCCATGCATGTTTTATATTTGGATTGTTTATTGCTAGCGTAAACCATGGACTGTTTATATTAACGGACGTAGTCTCACCTATCTCCGCCGTTCTAACTAATGGGCCAAAAATTGGGCTTTCATGGAGTGATTCAAAATGGCCGCATTCATTTAAACGAGTGCCTTGAAAAATTCACAGCGAGTAAACTAGACTGGTCCAAAAAAATTCACTCCCCTCAGCATTGACACACATGTGGAACGGAGCTTTGGGCCAAGAGCCAACTTTTGGACCATCCTGTAAAGACGTTTGAGAGGTAGGCTAATTCTTATTCCGGGTCCACTCCCATCGGCCCGGGGATCTCATTCTGAACTTTTTCATTTTGAAATTCATAGATTTTCTATATGTTCACACTTCTGTGCAACAAACTCTGCAAACATGCAGAGATTGGTCAGAATGCTCACGTGGCCCTCACCGTGAGCGGGCTCAGAGGTCCACAGTTGGCTCTGATTGGTCAGAACGCTCATGTATTACTCTGGTCCTTTGAAAGTAGAACCATTGCCACCTACTCTGTAAGACATGCGAGCATGCCCTAATGAACACAGGTCACTGATTTGAATGGGCAGACCCACAGCATGTCCCCATTGCTTTAGATCAGGGATGACAAAGTCAAATACATCAGAGGGCCAAAAAAAAATTTGCAACAAGCCGAGGGCCGGACTGGTTCAATGTTTACCAAAACATATTAAAATTATTGCATATAACATATTGAATCAAGACCTAACACAGTGTACCATATTTTATTTATGATTAAATGAATAATCCAATATTTTCTTTCTCTAATACTAATCAAATATCATGCCAGGGGCCAAGATAATTGATTCGCGAGCCGGATCTGGCCCCCGGGGCTTAACTTTGACACCCATGCTTTAGATATTTAGGGTAACGTGACTTACCTCCAAATGGTATCAAACATATATTATGTTTACAAGCCAGCTCTACAATTTTGACAACGTCATTGTGGCAACCTGCAACAGACACAAGGCAAGCAGGTTATACATATTATACAAACATATTAACAAGAACTAATACACAATAGAAATAGTGTGCATCTCTATCTTTTCAGTGCTTTAAGCATTTTAAAGGCAAGCACAAGAGTGGGATGAACGGGATCGATACAAATTTGTTTTAGCTAGTCTTGAGTCTCATCCATTTACTGAGGATCGGTGAACAAGTCACCTGTATGTAGGACACCTCCTACATAGAGGCTTGAATGCCCCCCACTGCTTTTGAGATATGTCTCACTACTTCAGCCAAGAGAAATTAATCAGAATCACAGATAAGGATGTCTTTTATGAATGTACTGTGATCTGAGAGGGTTTAACTAGATCTTGACGTTTCATGTTTTTCATAGCAGTTTGGTATAAATTGTGCAATACAAATAAATTCACCTTGCCTTACTAGTTGTGATAGTGTATTAATGTTGCTTTCTTCAAGGTTGATGAAACAGGATTTTCAATAAAAATGTGGGCAAGAAATAACAACTGAAACCAATCTCAAAACTATAATTCATAACTGCACTAGTCAAAACCCGACTGGCGTTTAAACCATCCATCCACAGACACCATTAAACCTCATACATATTAATATCAGTGCTTCTGCTGAGATTAACCCTTTAAATCACAGACGAAGATGTTCGGCTTTACTATCTGGCCAGATTGAAACAGACCCATCAAAAGCTGATTTTCTTCAGTTTCCAGACTTACTTGGCCACACTACCATATCAGGGACACGACCAATCTTTCCTTCTCGCAGCGCAAAGATCTCATGTAAGCAATGACCTGTAAGATAATGTGCACATGAGCAGACGAAAGCAGAAGAGTATAAAAACTATGGTATTTGAGACATTTCTTACCATGAGCACGGAACACTCGGTCCTCTGCTTCCACAGAGAATGGAATAGGTGTCGCTTTTAAGTCCTCCGCAAAGGCCTCATTCATAGTTGGAGGTTGTAGAGCTGAGCTATTGAGTAAAGGCTGCAAAAACATAAGTGATAATAGAAATTTGGCTCCCCACAAGTTAAGGCATGTGTCTGTGAGAGACAATTCTTACTGTTGCCGGGGTTTTGTGCTGCAGACTTGCTCCAAATGTGCCTTCCATCCAGTCTTTGAGCCCAGGAATGATCATACCGCTTAGTCTATACCTGGAAACGTGCAAACATTATTGAGTTTATCTGAAAATGCTTTAAAGTCTGTCCCAGTCTGAAGGAAAACATATTTGAACATAATCCATTTAAATGTTAATGATCATTATTGATTCAAGACCATCAAGTCATTTTTACCGCCAAGTCAAATTTGTAAATGATATATCTAGATCTATAGCTATCTAAGTCTATCCATACTTCCGAGAGGCTTTAAGCTGAAAGAGTATTATGGTATAAACCTCCAACCAAAATATTTTATTACACAATCACAACATGACACAAACAATCATTCCATGATGAGATAATCAAAAGTATTTTACTGATGCTCAATAAGCATTGTAATTAAACTTTAAACATTTGGCATGAATATCAAAAATATTACATTTAGATGATTTTTTATTTAGAAACCATGATGAATGAGTCTTCGGTTTCTATCTTCAATGATCTATACAGTTGGTTTTAAATGTAAAATGTCTCTGTCAACTGATTTTCACCCCAAGCGCAGCAGCCCTTTGAGTGAATTGTGAAGGTTCTAGCTTTAACATAAACTCACATATAAGAATGAGGGGGAAACTATCCTAATACTAATGCACGTTTAAATGAGATTTCAGTTCCCATTTTTAGCAGAACGAGCACAAGCACCTTTAACAATACAGTCATTGTGACTCGGGAGCTCCTGGCACAGAGCAGGCCTGAGCAGAGCTGTGTGCAGTGTCTTTGTCCAAAACACCATGAACGCAGTGGAAAAGACAGCAGCTGAGATTCTCAGGTAGCTGTGAAGCTTTGCAGATAGTGGCGGGTTTTACATAGAAAGAATGTGGGAAAAATACATTTCAAAGCTCACTATCACTGTCTGAAGGCCACTTCTAGATATGACAATAAAACAGCTAGTCTTGGGCAGATGTTAGAAAAATCAGTTCTGACAGCTGATCAATTCTTTATACTGGTGAAAAGCACATCTGGGGTATCTAAAACAGAATGCTACTTAAAATACGAAAGTCTGGGACAAGCAATGTGCAGTTTGGAAGATAAAACACCACTTATGTATCACACAATTGTAATTATGATACTAACCACAAGGTGTCAGTATAGGAGCACATAACTACAACTGCAGGCGTCTGCTCTGAAAATGGGTGAAATACTGACAGCCAGCCGACGACAAATGGTTCTTTCTGTTTAAAGAAAAATGTTTTTTCTTTAAACAGAAAGGAAGGCGTCTGGCTGGACAAGTTAGGTGAACTTCATGCTGCTATTTCTCAATTAATAAAAATATTATAAAAATGATGATGATGACATAATACCACAAGCATTGGGCGACCAACAATGTGATGAAATTGAAATAGATACTTGAAAATGCTTTTAGGAAATGAAAAATAAATGTGTTAAGTTACCTTTTTCCAGTGAATTCTGCTTGCCCTTTCTTGTTGTAGATAAATTTGGTGTCACTATAACCCCAACCATTCCATTTCATAACGTCCTGCCTGTCAAAAGATAGACACACAGGAAATCACCCAACGGCAGTGTTTGAATTGTAAACGCAAAGCACAAGCATTTTATAGTAACACTAACAATATAATGTGTAATCCTGATGTAAATGAAGCACTTTCATTGCCATAATAAACACATTTGGCCGACAGTCATCATGATCAAACAATAAGTTAAACATCAGCCTTGTGACAAGTAGGTGTGGATGATACTACATAGAATTAACCTACTTTAAGGGATTACACAATATTTCTAAATACATGTGTTTCAAGCCGAATAAAGTCTGAAGCTTCATCAGCTCAAGTGTTTTCCTGATTAATTGGTATCGAATTGGAAATCTAAAAAAAATAAAAATATTCAAGAAACTAAACAACAAAGTCTGAAAGTCAGAAGCCAAAGCCTAACCCTCCTCCGTGTAACATTATACCACATTTAAGCTGAGCACAAAACATTTATGAAATCTATCCCCATCCTATTCTGCAAAGAAGTTTTAGAAATATTTCTCCTGTATCACATTTAAAGTCTCATTTGTTCTCATCTTTTCATACAGGTCAAACTCTGACACAAACAACAGAAATTCAAATTGATTATTATATTTGTTTTTTTTAAATATACATGCTTTCTGAATATATAAACTTAACACACCCTTCATCTGAAACAGGCCATGATCGATTATTCTTCACTCTTGATGCACAAAACAATATTGGTCAATTTGTGGATCGGATCTCGGTTCTATGATATCGGTAAAGAAGATCCAGTATGAGACGATTTACTGATCTTTAGTGACTTCTGAATAAAATGCCTGCTAAATAACACAATGAGACCCATTTTGTAATAGGGTCAGCTTTTGGCTCAAGTCATTATAGGGAAAAGTATTTGTTCATTAAATCAGTGACATTGATACCAAACATGAAAACGAACTGGTGCATCCCTAGTTTAGACATAAATGTTTAAGTCAACCAACTTATTTTCAAAGCATTTAAAAAATATGAATATAATGACAAAGCATTCTTCACGTCATTATTCATTGTCTGTGTATTGGTCCTCTGTTTTGTGCACTATAAATGGCTTCTAATGCATTCAAATGTGAGGTTTGCTTTTCCAATAAATGTAAAAAGAAAAATTGAATACACAAAACTCTTTCTACACTTATTTGGAACATAAAAGATATTTTGCTATTTAATAGACTAATTGTTATTTCTTAAACCTATAGAACTCTCTTTAGAAAACTACAATAGTGATACTACCCATTTTGTAAATATCCATTTAGAAGAAAAGCAAACTCACAAAACCTGAAAACTCAGAAATGAAAGGATAACACAAACCAGATGAAACTTGGAAGGGAAAGCCGAGCAAATGCCATCTAGCCACTTCCGTGTACGTTACACTGACTGGCATTATTACTGATTAGGTTGGCATTTGTCAGGCAATGGCACTGAGACCTCAGCGTCTGAAAACATGTCACAAGGCCTCGATAATGAGAGTGTAGAGTTAAGGTCATGGACGTCTGAGAGCATGTTCCTGAGACAAACACTAGATGTCAGCACACTTTGATTCTGAACTGCTGAAAGTCAGGCCACCACTTGTCTTAGCCAATCAGCTCAACAGAGGAGGAAGACTTTCACTGACTGTTTGACTTTCTGGATTTCAGAATTACATTCTTCAACTGTTAACATAGGAATTCCTTTTATCAACATAAGTCATTGTTCTCCTCGAAAGAAACCTTTAGTGTTAGCTGGTAAGAATGTCAATACGATAGCCCAGGACTATTCACAATAATTACATTAAATACTACGCACGCATGAGGGACAACAAAACATACAACTAAAGTTTAAAAGACTTTATCAAACTCTCCAAAATGTGTTTACAAAACAACTTAAAGTCTGCGCTGCCAACGTCATGTACCGCACCCTTACTGGAGGAGAAGAACCAGGCGGATGCAGGGTCTCATACCACAGGAGAATTACATTATTCCATGAACCGTGACCCCATACGTCCCCGCAGCAGCGGTGTTTCAGCTGCTTTAACCCCGCTCATGTTCAGAGAGAGTGGGTGAGGACCATAGACTGAGAGGACCAGGATCAAGCTAAATGACAGATGATGCTCCTGGAGTTACCTCCTCCTCGGGACGGTCCGCTGCTCGCCGGGCTCCTGTGCCTTGGTCTCCGGTGCTTTGCATTCTGCAGCTGTGATGAGTTGGTCTTCCGTGGGTCTCTGTAAATGGCCCGTGATGATTTGGAGTCTTTGCCGTGCAGCTCTCTGCCTGTCGGCCGCCGCCATGCTGCTTCCGTGTTTGTGAGGAGGAGGGGCCTCCAGAGGAGCCAGAGGGGCCAGACTGCGACGCCTTCACGGGAACTACGTTTATTTGCACCAAAACAAACGTTCACTATTTTTTTTCCTTTCATTTATGTGTATGCATTAATCAGAAAAAATGTATTTCTCCACCGTGGATAAAGATAACAAAATAGAAATGTATCACTCTGCATGATCGATGTAGCCAGCTAATGACGACATTAAATAGATATTTATTCTATCTTCAATGTATTTCATGATCTAATGAATTTAACATACACACATTAAAAAACATATATTTTTGATCATGCTATATTTTCAATAAGGTAAATGTGCTTGAAGAAAATGTGTTTACAAGACCAATTTCCATTCTGTGTTAAAACAGTTTATATCATGCATCCTGCAAAATAGTGCACATTAGCAGAGACAAATAAATATCTCAAAAGTAAAAATCTTTATTTGACAGAAGCCACATATAAAAACAGTCACATTTGATTTCCAAAGATTCTGGCTCCCAAAACAAAGTTCTGTAATGCACTGACTACAAACAAATAGAGTCTAAGTGTATCACAGAACTTCATTTGGAAAGCCACATTGTCTCCTCACAGGTCTGTGAGATATCAGCCACCTCCCAAGGGCTCTTCTATTCTGAAAAACACAAAAGGTACACAAATAATGGATCCCAATGCAAACCTAATAAGAGACCTCCCGTTTGAGCCCTGTGGACTTGAAACTTCCAACTCAACCGGTTGACATTTTTTGACATATATCATTGAAAAAACCAGCCACAACCTGCAAAAGAGTGGAAGTGGGCCCTCCACCCTGGTGACAAGCAGTTAAGTTTGGCCAGATGGAGTCATCTTACATATTGTTATGTATTGAATTATAATTCATATCTTATAATGTGACATTGGTATTATGAAGTCAGTGTGCAGCCCACAATGTAACCCCTTTATTCCATTGGGATGTCAGTGGTACACTTTTGATCATAGACCTTTTGATTGAAAATTATGTTAGGCTTTAGTTTTGGGCCTGCCTGTTCAGCTTAGAGCTTTCCCAACATGGCTCTGAATACTGAAAATACTCATAGAAGCAACAGTTAAGTTGTAGCAAGAGTTTTAAGATTAAACATGACAACACCTAACTGACCCCACAAATGGGAATTATTAGAAACAATGTCTTTACTTTGTTGTTTCTTTAGTAAAATTGTGTATTATGTTGCAAAAAGTTATGTCATACTGTACCTGAGGTAATGCAGCCTGGCGCAGGGGACCAGCTGTAGTCAGACTGGAGGGAGAAATGCCACAGTTGAGTACAATATACAGCAAAGCCAACCCGTACATAGCGCACCGTGGCTGGATTGTCAGTGCATTTTATCTGCGTTGGTCCATGCAGGGCTCTATTCGTGTTGGCTGCGGCAGCTTTTGTGCGTCCTTCCCCCAGTCCTGTGCAGTCCTGTGCACTTCACTACACGCAGCTGGAAGAATGTCGACGTGGAGCTGCCAAACGTGAACGCGTCTCAGGAGCGCGCTTTCGGAGGGAAAGGGGCTTTACTGTCATTTCCATCGCGTGGTGGCAAAGAGGGCTGCAGGTCACCGTGGTCCCCTTTGCAAACACATGACAATCTTACATTTTGTTGCACTTTTCTCCAGGAAATTCAAGACACTTTTTTGTGAAAAATTGATCAAACAAAATTGTCATAATTAACTACATACATCTACACACTTCTCCCTCTGCCATGTCACTTTCTGATGACCCTACAAGTTCTACCCTTTAAATGAATAAGTATTTCTATGGTTACTGGTAAACAACAACGTGGATTAGTTATTTATCGTTTGTAGTATTCACTTTCACAAACTAACCAGGAGGGGGCACTATACAACACATTAAACACAGAATATACGTTTTACTGCGTATTTCAGCAAATTTAGGCAAAACAAGTATATAGTCTAGTTATCATAATCATTGACCGATAATAATATTACATGGGAAACGACGTGAAGCCTTTTCTTTTCCAGATCCCAAAGCGCTGTTCTTATTGGTCAGTGCGGAGGGGCGTTCCGCTGAGGAGGAGCTCGCGTTTCCGTCACGATCATCATCAGATTAGAGGAAGCAGTAATATTTGTCTCAACTCAGCCTCAGAAGGACTGGCACTGTGTTGGATTGTTTGTGCTTTTATACCGGGATTGTAACATTGGCCTTAAAGCGGTTGTTTCGCTTTGCCGGGACTCCACAATGATGGACACGGAGCTGCCGCATCAGACTCAACAGGTAGGACTGAAGTGAAGGCCAGATCACCTGACACAGACCAGACAGACGAGGAGACACACATACATCATGTGTTTTTTTTTCCCATGTGCGACAACTGGTTGCGTGTCTGGTTAATGAGATAAGCGCTGGTGTATTAGAACATTTTGGGTAACATAATATTGGCAACTTTCCTTAGCCTCTAGATTGAGCCAATACAATAGTTTTATACACAAGTTCATCTGCTATGTCTTTTAATTTATTTATTTGTATTTTATTCTGTTTTGCCTACTACGCATAGATCTTTCTCGTAACAGCTGATTTCACCCCTCCCCTTTCCAGGCATGTGATCTCTATCTACCACAAACCACTTCAACTTTGTTACCGTTTGCTTGCCATAGACTTTTGATGACATTTGTAGTTGTTCTCATGTGTGTTTGTCTGCTTGTGTTGTATAACCATGTAGGAACAAGTCAACACATGTTCTTTGGGACAGTCCAGGAAATTAGTGTTGATATAAAGCAAGGGTAATGCGCGTTCGGTTGATCTTCCCTTAACGTATTGAGGGGACGCTGGTGGTCCACAACAGAGCGATCAGTGTTTTAGGACGTTTTGCAGCTGGGTTTCATCATCTGTGGTCAAGGGTGGATGGCCAGAGCCCTCTGAGGCCCTCTTGTGCTCAACTTCAGTGGTAAATGAACAACTCCAAGACAAAAGTACACACACTTTGCCCTCATGCCTGCTCTACTAGATTGTAAACTCCACATGGGTGATTTTATTGCAATAAATAAGCTGATATTGTATACAATCCAGAGATAAAAGCATTTGGGTAATTTGTCAACCCTGTGCTGGTGCCAAACAGGTCTATTGTTACTTTACACTCATGTTTTTCCTCAATGTGCCAAGTTGGAATAGACTAAACTATGTAGACTAATATAAGATCGGGACAAACATAATAATACCAATAATTCAGTGACATTGAAGGAAGGGATAAACTACTAACTCCTTCTCGGTCATTGCAGTGGTTGTGTTTTTCTAAAGGACCTGTATGACTTGCCTGATAGGCGTCTGAGGTGTGACCAGCACCTTTAGTGTTTGGTTTTCATGTTTTGAAATAGATGACCTCAAGATATGTGCTCAGACATTTTAAGGATACTTCCTCATTCCCACAGTAGGTTTAATGTCTGCCTGAGTGTACAACTTTCAGTGGGTAAGAGAGGTTAGGAGACAGCTTCTGTAACATGTAATTCTCCAGCAACCTCAGCTGATGCAATGGTGAGGTACAATGGCTCCGTGGTTTTTATTTCTGTTGCGGTAATATTATGCTGACAAGTAAACGGACATTCCTGGAGATACTGTGAGATTTCATAACACTTTTAAGCAACTTTTGTTGCTTAAAAGCAACAAAAGTGCACATTCTATCAATGTGCAGAAGCCAGTACTTTTCCCTTGTTTTGTCTATCTGAAGGCCAAGCTACAAGCACACCGTGGAAGCTGCTGATTGGAGGTCTCCATGCCTCCGCTCTGTATAATACACTTGCATTCTATTGTATCTGTGATCGTGTGCTTTGTTCGTGCTGTGTCTACCATCGACAATAAAACATGTCTTCTGTCTGAATGTAAGACGCGATCCCAGACTATGCCATCTTCTTCAATACCTAGTAACTTTAGGCCGGTCTATTTAATTTAGTTCTGCAGATTTCCAAGCGCAGTTTCCTCTCCGCTTCCTTAAGGCAACGTCATGAGAATGATTTGTTATAAACAGAACTAATGGAGTCAGAAACAAATGGGTCATATGCTCTGAAATATTTCAGTGCAAGCTCTACTTTAAGGCTCCAGTCAATGCAACATTTCATCCCCTTATGAAAGCAGTTTCCTCACTAAAATGGAAAATGCAAATCCATAAAAAAACAATGTACTTATTGTGATCCATTGTACACATTCTTAGGATAAGGGTCATAAGTGTCTAGCACTCCTTCCTCACAGCAACAGGGTTATGGGTTTGATCCTTTTGTGCGGGTTTCCTTCACACACAATAGTCTAGCTTAGGTCCTGACCAAACTGAGCATCAACATCTGGTCAAATGTAGAGAATAAACTTCTTCAGGGACCAAATGAGTATATCTTGACATTAACTTGGATTCAACATGTTTCTTTATTGATTCACTACCAAAAACACTTCATGGGCTCAAGCTTGCTGTAAAATTTCAATGCTTGTTTCCGTTTTGCATTGTTAATCAATATGGCAACAGTCCTTAAGTTTCACCGGATAACCATGGATGTAAGAGCAGCTGGGCTTTGGAAGCAAAAGAGGAAAGTCACACCTTGCCTTCATTAGATGGGTGACTGAAATAAGAGTAAGGTGACAGACTGGTGTTGGTTTGTGGCAGAATAAAAGATGTATATTTATTATTCATGCCCTGCGTTCCACTTGGTGTTATTGCTGGTCTTGTCAGAGCACTGATACGATGGCTGGGGTGTGGCAGTCCTCATGCTTCACAGGGGCTGACTGTTCGTATTCTTCACAGGACATGGACCTGATCGACATCCTGTGGAAACAGGACATAGATCTAGGCGCAAGGCGCGAGGTGTTTGACTACAACCATCGACAAAAAGAGTACGAGCTTCAGAGGCAGCGTGATCTGGAGGAGCAAAAAAGGAAGCATCTTCTTCAAGAGCAGGAGAAGGCCGTGCTGGCACAGCTCCAGCTGGACGAAGAGACCGGAGAGTACATACCCCGCCTGGGGGCTGTCACCTCGCTCCCATCAGCAGGCACACCTCTAGAGGCTACACAGGTACATGCACAACAGCATCATTACTCATGTCAAGACTGTGGACCACTCCCATTACCCCTGATAGGCCCAGGCAGCTGTAGCTAGGTAACCGGCCCAGCCTGGGCCATTAGACACACACAGGTGGGTTGGTAGTTTTGCATTGGCATAAATAGTGTGCATTTGGACTCTCCTGCTCTTTACCTGTGTTTACAATAACTTAGCTCTGTACTGTCATTACAGAATCTCTCCTTCAGTGACGAAAATAACGATGCCATTTCATTTGATGAATGCCTGCAGCTACTAGCAGATACATTTCCTGCCGAAGACACTGAGGTAACGTATGACGAATATGTATGCGATATATATATATAAATATAACATGGTATACTAATGTAATGTTTTACTTACAGAATACCTCTGTGAGCATGTGTACTTCTGACATTTCATCTGGCACTGGTGTGATGACCACAGAACCACCATCTCTGCTGCCCACCACACCTTCCCCTGCCCAACTGCCACCACACAGGGCGTCTATAGATTTAGAGCAGGCTTGGATGGAGCTTTTGTCTCTCCCAGAGCTGCAGGTATAATACATGGATTCTACTGCCTCAATGGAGTCATGGTTTGTACAAATACCCAAAGAATGCACAAATGGCTGTAGCCCAGGTTTCAGGACAAAAGTCGTTTCAAAGTGGGATTCAATTAAGTTTCCTGGCTACTGCTAATCTTGTTTATATGTGTGTAAATTAACAAGCTAAGCAGTGACAGGCTTGATAGTACTGTGATGGGGAACTTGCAAATAAACTGCCACTTTGGGACAGCACAGAGTTGTAGCAGGCCCTCCTCATAGAAGACCTTCCCCACATTACCCCATATGAATCTGGTGTGCGAAATTGTTGGCAGTGCTAAACTAATCCAATTTATGACCTATAACTTGGGAGTGTTATATCTAACCAGACAAGTTCCTTTACTTCATCTGAATATTTCACCTCCAGAAAATACATCGATAGATATTGCTTTGCCAGTTATCCATTCTGCTGGGAAGTAAAACAAAATATAACAATATAGCATTTCAAATGTAGTTTGTCAATATTGGAAAAATGTAAATGCACCACTGGTTTCCCCCAGTTGTGTGTCAGTGATCAGACACGCTCTTAGCTACAAAAGCTTTTTACAAGGTAATAGGGTGAAATATAGCATATGACATACAATTCAGAGCATTAATTGTTTTTATGCATTTGTTTCTTACAGCAATGCATGCAGATGCAAATGGAGGATACATTGGAAACTACCATTTATCCAAACACCTCAGAAGTACAACAGTCAAGCTATACTTACTACCCTGTGTCAGAGAGCACAACTTCATCTTGTGCCACTGGATATCTCGATTCTTTTCATGCAATCACACCCATTGTCCTTCCTTCTGATAATCAAAGCCAAGTGGAAGCTCCTGCTAGTTATACTGCAGATGCTGAAGACTTCTGCGACATGTTTTACCCAGAGAGTGTGGCTGCAGAAAGCAGTGGCTGTGATGAATATGAAAGCAACACACTTTCTGGAATACAAAATGATTCTCCATTCACTCCAATGGAGCTGTATAGCCTCTCACCCGGAGAGGCTTTTGACAGAGACAAACCTGGCCCAACTGTGGAAATGGCAGATTCAGATTCCGGAATATCAAATGCAAGTCCAAATGCAAGTTCACCGGGTAAATCTGTCTATGATAGTTATGGATCAAGTGATTCAGACATGGATGAGACAGACAACGCTGACAGTGCACATTCAGATTATTCAGAGATGTTTTCATTAAATTACGTGCCTGATGAGTTCCCAGGTACTTCCATATCTTCAATTCAAGCAAGATCGCAAGAAAAGATTCCAAAAAAGCAAAGAACCAAGCAGGCAGAGAAAAGTAGCCACAGCAGGGGTCCCTTCACAAAGGACAAGTTAAAGAGACGCTCTGATGTGCGTCTCACAAGAGACGAACAGAGAGCCAAGACCCTCAAAATCCCCTTCACAGTTGACATGATCATCAATTTACCTGTGGATGATTTTAATGAGCTGATGTCAAAGCATCAAATGAATGAGGCCCAGCTCGCCCTGGTCCGTGATATTCGCCGCAGAGGGAAGAACAAGGTTGCTGCCCAAAACTGTCGAAAGCGCAAAATGGAAAACATAGTTGGCCTAGAGGGTGAACTGGATTCTCTAAAAGATGAAAAGGAAAGTTTGCTCAATGAAAAGAGCAAAAACCTGATGAACTTGAAGGAAATGAAGCAGCAGCTCAGCAGCCTTTACCTGGAGGTCTTCAGTTTATTGAAGGATGAAAAGGGGAACAGCTACTCACCCTCTGACTACTCACTGCAGCAGTCCACTGATGGCACAGTCTTCCTGGTTCCTCGCATTAAAAAGACTTTGAGAGCGAAGACAAGCCCTTATCAAGACAAGACATTATCCCTGAAGTAACATGGTACCGCTTTGACATTGAAACACTATGCAATACTTTTGTAGTTGTACAGGGATGAGCTTGTAATCAACAGTCCAGGATCACTTTCAAAGGTTTCATTGGGTTAGGGACTAGGGTCAAGAGTCCAGGATGAACTTGGAACAGTAATCCTGGACTGTTAATTATTCTGATATCAGACTTTGCAGTTGTGTCGCTGTACTTGTGGTTATTCATCGCTTTAATAAGTTGTAACTTTTTATATTAGCTACAGTTCCATTTGTAAATATTACTTTGAGTCAGATTGTATTCAACTGTATATAGCCTCTGTATTCATGTGCTTTCAAATCATAATCATTGATTTGCCTTTTTCTAAGTCAGAAGTATTTTCAATAAACTAGTCTTTATACAGCTCAATGCTTCATAATAAAAAACATGCTGATAAGCCACATGGGCACGTAAAGAATGGTTGCAACATCCCATATGTTTAAGCTCCTTTTGTGGTGTGCTTTAATAGAGACCAGAAAGACCATATTGTTTTGTATTGCCCTCACTTTCGCAATCTGTTCATATTTAAAGCCTGAAAGTTTAACAGTAATCTAACACTCAATACTGGAGCTCTATCACACAAGAAACTATCCACTGCACCCATTAGATTACCCATTATCAAAATACTCCCACACAGTAAATGCATGCATGACCTGCGCTTTGAGTCGCTATTCAAAGAAAAGGCTTACGCAACCTGGGTGGTGTCCGTGCACTTTCACATACACTGTTTGAAAAGAACTGGTTTGCTAAGGCGGCCATTGGCCAACAGTTGTGGCATAGACATGGTATTGGTTCCTTTGAAGTAAAATGTTTTTTAAAAGGGCAAAAGTACTACTTATACATGGTCAGATGTAACAAATATAAACATGAATCAACAGGAAAAACAGTAATCAGTTTATTTTTAGACTAGCATAGAAACAATTTTATGATAATTATTTTGGATCTAGATATGCATTTTTTTGAAGCGTAGCCCACTGGTTCATAAAAAGTAGGCTACCACTTCTATAACAAATGATCAAGATTTACAATATTAAAAAGTAAGACTTAAGCAGCACTCAGGATACAGCTTACACAACCTTCCTTACCTTCCTTGTTAACACTTCTTTTCAGCAAGAAGAGAATTCCCCTTTCCATATCTGAAAATCAAGCAAAGTGGTTACTCTTACCTTCATCTTCTGCATCAGCATTACTCTGTATTATGTATCAAAGCTAATATTCTGTTGCTGGCCTGGTGCATTTCTGCCACAACAGGAAATCCAATGTGTCCAGGAACTAGTCTTTCTTCGCGAGTAGCAGCTTCCTTGAGAGAATAGACGCTCACTACCAGCCAGACACTTCCAAGACTCCTCCATTGTGCTCGCTGCAGTCTTTGGCCTTCCTGTCTCAAAATGCTGACTGGTCCTCTGTGCGCTGGAGAAGTCCTGTCTGATCGTCATCTTCCACTCGCTGCTGCTTTCCCCCTCTACATACATTAAACTTTCCATGCTCTTTTTGAAAGAGTATAGTTTGGTACCTGGTTTGAGGGAACAGTGTTCCCAAACTGATTCAGAGACTAAAAAGACAAAAGACAACTTTTTTTTTCTAAAGAAAGCACTAGACCTTGCTGGACTTTACTACACAATTTTATTCATTTTTTTCCTAACTAAAATCAACTTGAACAATCAAATCTGATACTTTGCTCAGAACAAGACAGGCATTTTTGTAAGATTCCGAATGCTGCATTGGTTGACACTGGTAGAAAATGATTTCACACTGTGCTTCGTTACATACAAAATGAAAATACACTTGACACTTAAAATTGAGATCATAATAAATGGAGAATAGTAATTCAAGCTGAGGATAACGTTCAACTCGAAGACAATTTGCAATGCAACTAGAAGAATGAAACCATATAAAAAGTAAGGACATTACGAACTAACTTTAAATACAAAAAGGCCCCCTGATACCATAGGCATAATCACACAACTTAGACGCACAAAAGGAAGAAAATGTTCGGTGAAAATCCACATTTATGGATGAGGAATATCTAGCAGTTCTTTTAGCTGCAGTTATGTCTGACTGCTCCTTATGCTTTCAGGTGACTTATACCCTGCAGCTTTCCCCCCTCTCTCTGTCACTCTCTGCTAAGAACTGAAGCCTGTTGAATGGATACAGGATAAAAAAAAAAGTGTTATTCTGCACTTACACTGTGTTGTACTATACTGTGGAAATGTTGTGCATCTGCTTACTACTTACCAAATTATGAAAATCATTAATATCTCGGGGAGTTGTAGTTACCCCCACCACGACCAGAACCATAGCCACCTACATGAAGTACAGATCGTTAATTACACACATCCCGTTTCTTATACAGACGTTAATTTAGTAAAATGTATACTCACCACCGCCGCCGCCACCACCACCAGCACCACCACCACCTCCGTACGGGCTTCCAGAATTGCGTCCGCCATAGTTCCCCTTCATGGGCCCATAACTGGACTGCTGCCCTCCATAATTCCCAAAATCATTGTAATTTCCTCCTCCACCTCCTCCGCCACCACCACCACCACCTCCATATCCTGAAAAAGTATTAACTCATTGTATTTAGACAATATGGCACTGGTTGAGTGAGAGTGTAAAAAGGTGTACCTCCATCCCTGTAACCTCCACTTCCGCCTCCACTTCCACCCCCACCATATCCTCCACCTTGGTTTCCGTACCCTGACCCAGACATGTAGTCACCACCACCCCCTCCTCCATAACCGCCACCACCATAATTTCCACCAGGGCCTACAAAACAGTTGATTACACACTTTGATTAAGAAATACCATGCCATGTCGAGATGCTTACCGTTATCATAGTCATCGCCATATCCACCCCGTCCTCCACCATAACCGCCGCCTAAAAAGAAAAGTGAAACAACCATTGAGTGACAAGTGCCATACTCATACTTTAATTATTTGTAACTTACTTCTGCCATAGTTACCTCCATCTCCACCAAAACCTCCTCTCCCGCCATATCTGTCACTTCGTCCTGTAATAATAAACAGGATGGTGATGTAATAAGAAATATGAGCGGTAGAAGTTTATCAAACAGACTACATACCTCTGGAAGAGAAATTGTTCATTTCTTGTTTTGAAAGGGCTTTTCTGACTTCACAATGGTGAGCGTTGATGGTATGATATTTCTGGCCTATACAGACAAATCAGAACATTAAACTTCAAAAACATGTCAACCAAGTTTGTTGTTTGTACAATTATAGCCAAAAACATACCACTGATTTTGTCCACCGTGTCATGGTCATCAAAAGTAACAAAGCAGAAACCCCTCTTTTTGCCACTGGAGCGGTCTTCCATAATTTCAACACTTTCAATTTTCCCATAGCGTTCAAAGTAATCTCGAATGTGGAACTCCTCTGTGTCTTCCTTAATGCCTCCAACAAAGATTTTTTTCACTGTCAGATGGGCACCCGGCTTGTTGGAATCCTGAATGATGATCAGTTTAGTTTGAAGTACTTTCAAAAAAAGGGGGGGAAATGTGTTTGCTTACCTCTCTGGACACTGCCCTTTTGCATTCAACTGCCCTGCCATCCAGTTTATGAGGCCTGTTTCTCATAGCATCGTCGACTTCACCAACAGTGGCGTAAGTGACGAATCCAAATCCTCTGGAGCGCTTTGTTCCAGCGTCTCTCATAACCTGTTATAAAAAAGGCATTTTATTTCAGTGCAAGATGTGAATGAACATCAAATCCAGACATAAATCATAAAATTCCACGGCATACCACACAGTCGGTAAGCGTCCCCCATTTTTCAAAATGAGCTCGTAAGGATTCCTCATCAGTCTCATAACTGAGGCCTCCAATGAAGAGCTTCCTGACCTGCTCGGGTTCCCTGCTGTCCTGACTCTGAAACATATCGGAAAATACACAATGTTCACACGAAAGCAGTCGTAGTTTCCATAAAAGGTCAGTATTTGCATGCACACAAGGCTAGCACCGCTGCACCATTAGGCTAGCAAGAAAGCCCGCTTAGCTAACACCCGTCCCCGGCACATACAGCTACTGAGAGAATAAGATGGGAGAGAGTTATAAACAATGGGAGAGTCAAACAACAACAGTTGAAAGCTAATCCGTCGAGTTTTGCCTTTATAACACACCACAGTAACAGTTAAACCTGATTATAACGATTATAACACATCAGCAGTAAATGCCGATCACCCACCTCCATTTTGCAGCGCGTGGACGTGTCTGCGGCGAGAGAAGAGACTGCACTGCCCCTAGTGGACAGGCGTGGAGCGTGTAATGCCAGTTTCTCAGCTCACAAACCAGGAAATGGAATATCAACACGGGACGGGGACTTCCCACATTGATGCCTCCCACCCATGGATCTTTAATAATATCTATCTATGTAATAAGCTATCACCGCCATGATGTTGACTGCTCCCATTCAAACCCATAGAATTTTGAGAAATACCCACAAAGTTACAAGATCATTTTCATCCGTAATCCCCGGGCACAGACAAAGTGACAGCAGGTTTACAGTCTGCTAAGAATTCATAAAACCTCAGTAACCCCTTTCAAATGAATCCAACTAAAGTAAACGGTAAACGATATTCAATGTTGTCTTTCCAGTACGATAAGGCATAGCTCCAAACTGGCTGGATTTCACCTAAACATCTGGCATCCCAAATGTGATGCAACTTCAGAATTCTGATATAACCAAAATGTAACAGGTTACCTTAAATAATGTAGCCGTCGTGTCCATTGCTTTGGTAATGTTTAGTAAAATTAGTAGAGGCTTGTTTTTTAATACATTTAAATAAATTAAAATTAGTCAGTAGATCTACCAAACAAACTAAAGACCCACTTCATCAAAACATATGTATAAGACAACGCTTGCAAATTCAACTTCTCAGTCCAGGTCATTGGTTAGTATTAAAAAAAAAAAAGTCGACCATTTGCGCCACCTTTTGGTCAACGCATCTAATTACCATTCAGGGCATGTTTTGCATTCGTAAGTAAGCTTATCAATCAATATATCCAATCAATCACGTTCATTGGCAATATGATCAAATTAGAAGTTTCTATGAGAGTGTCTAGCAGTGAGGTGGAAGTGTATTATTGAAGCCTGAAGATATTGAGCATCTCTGGACAGGACTCATCTCTTATGTAGAAGCCATCAGTGTTTACACCTCAACCAAGTGACACGGACACTCGCTTGGACAAGTATGATGGATGAGCCAGATGCTACTGAAGCTTGTGGAAACTGACCAGCATCTCCAAATATACGACTGTTTTATGGTTAAGACAATGTCCGTCATTAACTTTATTGTAGAGTGTGAGGAATATACAACCCCAATAAAAGCCTAATGTTTTTCTGACACTATTAATGATGAAAATTTATGAGCGTGTCCGGCCAGTCACTGTTTTGTTCAATCCTTGCTACTGCACTTACTGTAGGCCTGGGCTGTTAGAGGGGAGGCACTCAACAAAAATGACAAGCGGCTATGAGGACAAGAACAAATATAACATGTCCTACTTTTAGAGTGAGGAGTTGGCCTACTGCCCTGAGGTTAAGGCACTTTAGACCTTTGAAGGAAATGCAATATGCATCTTCCTTATTGTGCAAGATTGCAGCTAAACGAACAACATTCCCATATAAACAAACAGGACAAGGCCCTCTTCCAGGAGAGTCAGGTTTGTGGAGATGCGAGCCTGCTCACAATCGCTAGACTGCTATTTTCCAGTGCCATAAAATAATTAATTGCTGCTCAATGGATATTCTTATCAAACAAACCAAATACATGTTTTAAAGAATTACTCACAGAACACAGAAAATATCAAACTTTCTGGGGAGATTTCTGTAGAGTATAATGATCCTCTCTTCATGGAATGGTACATCCATTCCATAAAGATTCAGATGCAAATATGGCTCAAACCTGTGGGTCTGGATATATATACAGTCTATGGTCTGGATGCACTTTGCCTTCCTACATTATACATTGTATCATAAAAAAAATCCACGACCAAATGTTGCCTGATAATTGTATACATAAGCTCTACACTACAAAACAAGGGTATACATTCAGAAGACTTGAATGTGCTGGATCCCCAAGCTGCTAAATTGCAATAACAGTATAATTATTTGATAATGATGCCATTTAATTATCTGTTCACAAAGAAAGAAAAGCTAAACAATCAATTATGTAACAATTTGTACTGATTTACCATGCAGGGCTTTGGTCAGTCTGTAATCAACCTTTGACGAATGAGTGGTATAAAGATCTCAGAGCGGTGACATCCTTGCATCTGGACAAAGGCAGCACTTAGAGGCATGATGAAATAATTAATACAGCTTTCATGCTCATTTTACACCTCAAAATTATGGTTTGCCATTAATCTGAGAGAAACAGTCAAGGACTGTGTCAGCATTTTTTCTTTATAGTAAATCATGGAGCTGGCTGGAGTTATGGTGGAACTGCACGTAATGATTGAGGTAAAGAAGACATACACAAAGCATTTGACACAACACCACAAAGTGGAACGTACAAAACGATGCACGTAAATAAAAGTAGCTTACACTTGATGAATAACAGGTAGACCTTAAATATTCAGGCCGAATTAGTTTGTCGGATAAAAACAAATCTAATTGACACTTTAAAGACTGAAAATGTTTTAACAAAATAAAACAAACATTAAAACAAAAAGAAGACGACACAGAGGGAGAAAAACATTTGACCTTTTGTTCAAATGCAGATAATTGTTTGAAGTTGCTGTAAGCATCCTCTAGATGGCACTATGGTCCATGAAAAAAAACAGGTCCAATTTACATTCACATTATACAAAATCCTCTCCGGATAATCCAGGTCTGAAATGTCTTTTTTCCCAAACTGTAACCTATATTCTATGAGAATGCATCATTATTTAAGTTTTTTGGCCAAACATGTCAATATATATTTGCCTGTATTATATTGATACGTTCAAAATAATAATAATACTGGTGTTGTCTTTTCATATACTGTCAGGTGACTATTGAAAAACCTACATGTTGACAGCCCCTCACCTGATGCTAGTGGATGTGGTCATAATATTAGGGCTCTTTTGGCTTCAGTCACTTGACCTTGTGCTGCTGACATCCTCACGGCGCACCACTGCCTCAAGCCGCCGCTGGGCGCACGGATCTACGCAGATGGAAACTTTGAGCAGGAAATGTACATTCATAGTAGGAAAAGCAAAGAGTCAATTAAGTTTGCGTCAACTACCTTTTCACATGCAAGTACAAAGCCCCGCGCACACCCCGGCGGCTACAATGCGTCTCAGTGGAATTTTGAGGGAAAGAACCATTTCTCGCATCTGTTTCCTGTCCACTCAACATCAAGGAAACTGCGTGTAAATCAGAATATAAATAGAATCTACACTGGAGCTACAGAGGCTGAGGCTGTTCTTTTCTGACATGAGTTTGTCTGCACTTGATAGAAAACATGTCACTGAATTAGGTTTGTCACCAGAAACTCAAGGGGGTTTTAGATTTTTTGCTTTATGAGGGAGAATAAAATATACTTTATGGTTTTGAGACAGTTTTATCCTGTTCATAATTTAAACTCTACAGTATCTTATGTGATCAGAGTCTTTGGGATTGAATATATCAATTCTAGGAGATAAGATAAAGGGACACGGGAGCATAATTGAGAATGTCATAAACAGGCATAAACAAACAGAAACACTTCGCCCATTAACATTTTAGTTGTAAAGACAGCAGCACATACTTGTAGTTTAGATAAAGACAAACACAACAAAGTAATTGACGCATATTCGTATGTTTATAGTGCCCATAATGAACTGTAATGTAGATATGTTAAAGCATGAATATACAAGTGCTATATCAACAGAGGCTTTGCGATTTTGCTGCTAAAACACAGACCTGAGATTCCACCCTGATTGAATGGTTTGTAGTTGCAACAATCACTCTTATCTCAAGACGTATTCTTTCTTCCACATTTTCTTATCATAAATATTAGCTTTTGATTTCAACTGTGTGGACATTCGAGTACTTTTTTCAATTTCCTTTAGTTAAAGCAGTGACTATGACCTTCCCTGAGCCTGAGATTGAGTGGAAGTAGAGCAGTGATTATGCCCGGAAACAGCCCAGTGCCTATTGATGTGGAGAGAAGAGGCACAGATAGTGAGTGTAATAAAAGCTTTATTTACAGCTCCTGGTGCAGAGCTACAGAGAGAGCTGTGTTTCCCTCTGGCACTAATTGACTGCCTGCAGCAGAAACACAGACTGTGGCCCCTCACTGAAGGGGCTCACATGCAATAAGAACAGCACTGCAGTTATTATAAAGGCACACTATTCATTCCTATAACACACTGTCTGATAGCATGAGATTGGGACTTGCAGTGATGCAGATACTGCAGAATTCCTACATCAACAATATAAACATACAGGATTGTGAGTGAGTGATTTGTGTTTGGAGGAGCCGATGGAACAGATTACAAGCCTCACTTCAATCAGGATAGGGTAGGGCAGATTTGACGATGCAGCCGCGAGAGTGTTTGAGTATGAATAATTGCAAAGTGGTATTGAGCCTTATTATTAAGGAATATTGTCATATAGTTTTATAGTTTAATCCAAAGAAGAATCAATGATTACACTCAGATTAACCTCAAACTAAGGAAAAGTGAGTGAAATGCATAATCTGCCTCAAGGACCAGTTTAAACCTGTTATATTTGAGTCTTATAATGCTATAAAATTAATATTCCCTACAGAACATGAACCAGAATCCAGCAAGACATCCTTTTACACAAAATATTGATTGTAAGTAGTTGTGGTTTAGTGGTTAGTACTCATGTCTCACATCAATTAAGGTTCAATTACTTCAGTGCTCTCATTTAGGTTTCTTGGTCAACATAAAACATGCAAAAAGAAAATTCCTCCAGCTCCAGTAGTCCCTGATCGTTGTACAGCATCACCTCACAAAAAATCTGTATGTGTCACAGAAGGACATTTCAGTGTTGCAGTGCATATTACAGAACAGCAGTATTAAAAAGAGACACTCAAGACAAGATTAACAGCTGTAAATATGTTATAACAAAATGGTTGGATATGTCAAATGCAGAGGTTGACTTGAAATTATGGTTTGTTTGTACAACACTGCACCTACCGCAGATTTAGCGAGAGACATGTGTCGTTTAGTTGTGCTGAGAACATTAAATTGATTAAAAGTATGTTGTATGTGTAAATACAGAAGAAAACATTTACAACAGCATAATGTGACCCCTTTAAGCATAAACCATCCTCTCAGCAAAAGATTAATACTGATTGAAATATGACTTTATAGTGTTACCATTTGAATAAGATAAGAGAACCTTTATTTGTCCCACAGTGGGGAAATTTCAATGTTGCACTGCACATACAGGACCGTAGTAAGAGCACAATATGAGTAGCTGCTATGTTTCTCAGCTAGCTGTAAATCCATGAAAGCAGAAAGTTATTATGCATATACGGGATTTTTTTTATCCAAAGAAGCATTTCATGGAAGCCAGCCCAACTCCTAGTCAATAATTTATTTCAATGCCACAAACTTGAATTTATCTTAATCCATTTTTTAGGGGCTAAATAGTTGCAGCTTTGTGTCGGTTACATGATAATGGAATTACTTTCCCACACCTCTGGAATCGGCCCCTGCTCTTACGTGTGGCCTCTCACCATACATCAGGTAGGAGGGGTGGTGGTGTGGGCGACAGGGGAAAACCATCTCTCCCCATTGCCTCTAATTTTTGTGTACAGACGACAAACGAGCAGAAAAGTGCTGCTTTCACACTTTTTTTGTGGCCCCGACGTTGAGCTGGTGGCAGAAGGGAGACAAAAGGATGGCGGGATGATGAAGACTGGAGCATGGTGGGGCAGGTGTTCCCTCGGTCCCTGGGGAGCGGAGGAGTACACCTGCCCACCACTAACCCGCTGTGATGGATCGATGGAGCTGCCCCTGACTCAGCACTTTGGACAGCTCTACCTGGGATTAGGGCACCAAGGACCTGATTGAAACACACTGTCATCCCACAAACAATAACATACATCCATCTTTGAGCTGGCCTCTTCCTCCTGTCCCTCCCCTGCGCTCGCTATCGCCCAGAATGATTTCGCCATTGATGGTGAAAGCGGTAATCCATCGCGTGCAGAGCCGATGGTTAAATTCCTGCCAACATGTTTTCTAATGGCACCGTTTGGATAGTGTATCTGCATGGCCAAGAAGAGGCTGAATTATGAGCTGCACACCAGGAGTCCAGTGTTATTTTTAGCACGCAAACACACATTCATGACACACTTTCTCATTATAGCAGTGAGTCGGTAAACACAATATTCAATAAAAAAAATTAATACAATTGAATCCTATAGAAAGTATATTTTTCCAGGTGTCAAGAGCTGTCCAGGTTTGTGTTGTGCTTCCAATTCTTCCAACTTTGGAGGGAGTCTTATGAAGTTTAAATTGAAGCATTGACTTGATAAACATGATTTTGCTCTTTGCAGAAGGTTTGCAGATTGAGAGTGTAAAACATTGTTAGTGCTGATGATGAATGTGCCTCCAATGGAACTATCCCTTAAAGTTTATTTAATGGAATGTCATTGTTTCTTGTTAATTATATGATTTATTCCTAATTCTCCATTAGACCAGTGTTCCAAACTGAAGGTAAGTGAGGGTAAGAGGCTACCATGACCTATTGTACACGATTTTAAAGTTCTTAATTCCCTCAAGAAAACAACCAGTTCGTTTAATTAATAAACCCCTTTTAATGAGCCCTTCTCACTTTTGGTCAACTTTTCGTTCAGTCAAAGTATGTACTAATTTTGTCCAGAAAAAAAACTAAATATTTCAATCATGTAATAAAATAAAATCAATCACAATAACCAGATACAAAAGACCAAAATGAGTTTCAGATCTGTGGGGAATGTGAGATATCTTCCATAAATCATGGCAGATCTGTTTATACACACGTGCTGTGAGTGGAGTTTTCCATAGTGGAGGTGACCAGTAAACACAGCGTCTCTGTGCTACGTTCATCTATGAGATCTGGCTGCTGCTGCTTCCTTATCTTGTCCCTGCTGCTCTTATCAGGTCTGATACAGAAGTTTGTGTGTAATGAGCATCACGCCTGCACCTCGCCGCATAAGGGAAGTATAGTAGTGTCCCGGGCACAGAGGTGACAAGTAACTAGATAGTTTTACTTAAGTACTGTAATTGTGTAAATCTGGTGTCAGTACTGTACTTTACTACTTATTTTTACTTCTAGTCTTTACTTTTGACTCCTTCCATTTTGAAATTACAAATTACTTTGCACATAAAAAAATTCGTTTACAGTGGTTTTTTTAGCTGACCAGCCAAAATTATTTTCAAATATGTGCAACGAGTGTCTTTGAACGGGTGTGTTATTTATATGCATATATAAATATTTAATCCCTCTGGTGGTCGCACAGGGAGAAACAGGCAGAAAGCATTTTTTACCCCTTGTTTCACCATATATTTTCAACTTTCATCATCTTCATGTTTAATGGCCAAAACTGTTTCTTACTATTTATTCTTTAAGTTCTGCACATTCTCTGTATAGTGTTGTTTCGAACTCAACAATAATGTATTTTACTTTTTTACTTAAGTGAAACATTACATACTGTACAAATGCTTGCCCTTTAATAAGATGAGATAACCTTTATCTGTCCCTCAGTGCGGAATGTTCAGTGACACCGTTGTGCACATTACAGAAGAGAAAGAAAAGCACTCAGGTTATGTCATCCAACAAGATCTCTGGAGCTATAATGAATGCAGAAACATATTGAAATTGTACTGTAAATACAGTGTACAACACATGGTGAAACTAGGGCAATTATCGTTTGCTTGATTGTATATTATTTATGTTTATATATTTGCATGTGTGCGTATGTACTGTAAGCACAGAAGGAAACATGTACAAAAGTTCATGTAAACTAAGAAATGTAAATATTGTAAATACTTATGAATGAATAAATCAATCAAAATTTCATTACTTTTACTTTGACCACAGTAGTTTTTACTATCTGTACTTTTACTCAACTAGCTTGTTGGCACCTCAGCGGCCGGGCGACACATGTATGAGGTTGTAGAGGTCTTGGATTGATGCAGATGTCCCAGCACACGTAGCCCCCCCAGGTGCCAGTGACAGAGGATGTTGTGGATGGAGGTGGACGGACACTGGGCTGATGTGGTGCTGGTGCGGAGTGATGACATCCTCTGTTTAACGAGCTGAGTTAGCGCCGCACAAGTTGCATCAGAGTGAAGAGCTGTAAATCTGCCTTCTATCCACCCCAAAACTACTAATACAGGAAGTATTATCTAATAAGTGCAACTGAGGCTGTACCACCCACAAGAGGAACTGCTTTCAAACACGTATCATAGGAACGGTAAAGGATGCATAGACAAACATTTCAAAAACCTAGAAACTATATTAAACGCTCTATTTTCTTTTACAAATTAAATCTTGCACACAGTGGAGCTTTGCCTTTGCACAGCCTACTTGTGTCAATCTAAATATACGTTTTAATTAATGGGTTAAAAGTGTTGGCTTAGTTCAACAAATCTAAACACTTCTTTCCTGTCACTTCGCAGGACTTTGCTCTTGTGCTGAGCTTAGTAAAAACCAAGAACACGGTGCCAGACAGGTCCCAGACGCCTGCTTGTTCTGCCACATTCCTGGTCCACTCTTAAGGACCTCTGTGCACGCCAGGCCTTCATAGCTGATTTGTGGAGTGCTGGTGTCAAAGGGGACCACTTTGTAGATGGTGTGCTCTGCTTACCTGTTTCAAAACAGCAGAGGCAGTAAATGTCAAAGAACGTTGCCCTCTGGAAAGTCTCAGCCGGACCATTAGGAGATAGTCCAGACACAAGGAAGACTGTTGGAGCAAACAAAACAACATTTTAGTATGAATATAGACGAGTGCACTCGCTCACCTGGCTGTAATTGCAGTTAAATAGCAACAAAATAAACAATAATATGACATTATTAGGTCATTATATTGACCTCAATAGTTCTATTTTCAATTTATCAATGTATTTTTTTGTCAAATCACTTTATAAAAAAGGACTCTGCAAGTCAATCAATCCAACTTTATCTATACATTTTAAATGATATAAACACAAAGTGTTAATTATTAAAAACAATTCCCACCCCTGAAACATGAGGCTGAGAGGAGGTGAAAAAGGCCTAGGGAGCACCATCCGAGGAGCAATCTGCACCAGGAGCAGAGAGCTGCCTGCAGTTATGGGACGACACAGGACCCAAAGGAGACATGAAACTGAGGCTCCAAACCTCCACCAGCTACATGAGCCACCGCCGACCACAGCTCCCAGTGCACAGGGCTCCTCCAGAGGAGACTCTGGAGATCAGCAACATCAAAAAGCATGTTTGTAGTCAGAGGTGCAGCTTTTCATAAACGGCTGGTTTTATTGACAAACCATTTTTGTATTTGATCATCTCCATTGGTTTACAGTTGATGCAGCTGGACTATAGTGTCACAATATCTTGTGACACTATAGTAGAAAATGGGAACACCAAAACTGGAACAGGAAAGGATATTAATGCAAGATATATAATGCACTGGAAAATGGGTCAAACCATTAAACACCATTTAACAAACTTATTCATGAATGATGCAGTCACTGTTCACTCAAATACATTGCACTTTACACCTCTAATTTACAAACCAAACGGACAAACGAAAGTTGCCGTGTCTGGCATTTGTCTACAGCACAAATCTAATATAGATCCTCCAATGAGCTGAGGGTAATTGCTGACTAGTCTTTTAACCTTATTAAATAATCCCGAGGCAGAGCTGGAGAAGATGGAGCTGACGATACTGCACCTCTTGTGCTTTTAGGAAGAAGAAAGATGCTGACTGCACATCATCCAGGGATTATACACTGAATCCAAGCAAAACTGCAGCTGTTAATTAGAGAGAGGCATCATGACAATCTCTGTGGGACACACCTCTGACTCTGTGTTCTCCCTTCTCTCTGCACTTGTAGAATTTCTTTGATAAAATGTACTCACCAACAACATCATGGTTGTTTTGTTGCAATTAGAATAGCACCATATAGCTAATAAATAACCGCCTGATAAGTTATATGCCAATAATTCCATAGAAACAAGCATCAGAATTGTGCAGCTACAGTAAAAGGCCTGCTCACAATGTTTTACATACACTTTCTTTCCTTTTTTTAGTTTTTTTTATTAAAGCAAAAAAGGAGAGAGTAAAATTTTAATTTATATTTGTTGTTTTTTCTAAAATATAATTCAATGAGGCTTTTTTGAGATACCATCTAATACTGACAATACATTGATAATATCAAAATACAATACATACAAACAAAAATAGCCTATACTTGATCGCTCAAAACCTGAGAGAGACACACTGCTGTGGGTCTGATGGTAATTGGATCCCACATAGTAAAATCAAATCAGCATTAACGAGTGCAGGGAGCCCAGGCCTCCCTATGGATCACACTCCTGTCCATGTGTCTGCTTTCACTACTTTAGAACAAGTGAATTTTAAACTCCACTAAAGCACTGTACGTTTTCTCTCTCACTTGTCAAGTCTTAGCTTCTTCCTCCTACTCCCTCCTGGCTCGCACTGCTTAACCTTGACAAGTCAATATGATAGCAACGCAATTTGCTTATCGGCTGCTGACATAACTACTGTTCTCCTGCTGTGGGAGCAAAGGGCCTGTGCCATTAGCATAGCTTACAAACACATCCGTCTCCCACAGAGGAGCTTCACTGACTGCACTAGCGGGCACTGTCTGACACGTGTAAGGCAAGACACCTGCACCAGACCTGCGTACTGAGTAGGTACCATATCTCCACTCGTCACTTGTTTTCTTTAGAAATTAAGATTAAGATGAAGAGATCCTTTATTCGTCCCACAGTGAGGAAATTTTAGTGTTGCATCACCAGTTACAGTAGGAATTAGGAGCACACAACACAAGATAAGTGAACAATAACTCTACATTAAAATAAAATAAATCTTGTGTAAATTACGGTATATTCTCGTGGAAGTAATAATGTGTAGTTGTATGTATCATCTCTACATGTTATTAGCATGAGGGTATGGACAAAGTAATTCTGACATTATTTCACATTATTGCACAGGTGCATGACACCTATTGTCATGGTGTGGATTTTGTTATTTTGTACTTTGGTTTTATTTTGACATTTGTTCTCTGTGGTTGGTTTTAGTTTGACTTCCTGTCCTGTAGCCCCTGTCTTGATTATCTGCCCCGCCCTGATGTGTCACCTGTGTCTCTCTGTGTCTATTGACCAGATGCATCGATGTCATCCAGTCACGTGATTGTGCATGAGCTTACGGTGGAAGTAGTGGAAACTAGCATTGAGGCAAGAGCAAAACGGACTACAACTCTTAAAAACTGAGACTCCTCTCCTAAATCGAGAAGAATAAATTCTCCAAATAAATTTGGAGAATTTAAGGATTGCCGAACTGAATGTTGACCCGTACCTTCTCCCAAAGTCAATTTTATCGATTAAATGAAATTTAGTCTAATTTTGCCCGAATTCACCCCACATGAACTTTATCATTATGTCGTTAACAATGCATCCCCTTACACTAGTAGATTTAAATGTACATTTTGCTGGTAGCGTTAGCAATGCACTTTTCTGTCTACAGCCAAACATGAGAGATCTTTTATTCATGCCACAGTGAGGAAATTTCAATCTTGCAGCGCACATACAGCACAGTAGTAAGGACAAGCGTTTGTTGTGTCATTTTCCTCCAAATAAATTAATGGAAAGAAATTAAATACATAATTGTGATCGATTTATCTTGTAAAAAGTGTTCACTGCGAATTTGGGAGTACTTGGATTATTCCCAGTCCTTTTGATTGATAGCCGCTGGCCATCGTCGTCTTCTGTCTTCATCAGGAGCAGGTGACAGATAAAAAGACACATTTGGCTTATGTTCTTGCCTGTTTGTACAACCAACCACATTGCAAAATATCACAGTTTTGGCTGTTATTCGGTGAAACAGGTTGTTTTGGTCAAGTTTCTGATGGCTCGCAGTTAGACTTCCGCCGCCTGTCATGGAGAGTGGGCGTGGCCGGTACGTCACATGCAAGGGGTGACATGTACCCTGTGCTTCTCTCCCCTTGTTGCTGGTCCATTCTATTGTCTATGTGTCTGTCCGTCTGTTTTCCTGGTTCCTGTTTGAATTTTGAGTTTGTTTTCACCTTGGACTTTATTTTATGAAATCATTATTTTTTGCATTCCTGCATTTGAGTCCTCCTCATCTCACTCCTCGTGACGTCTATACTGTATAGAAATAGACAATGCTAGCTCACTAGCTAAATGAAAGCCTATAGGAAACAGCTCATGGACAATGTTTCGTTCCATCTCGCTCTGTGTCCTACTGACTTCCATTGAAAAGTAAACTACTCATAACCCTTTTGGGCTCAAAACTCTGTGGTTGGCCGGTGTTTGATCCTGTTTAAATTTAGATATATATTGTCTTTGTAAACCCAGATATGTCCCCAAACAAATGATCAATGCAACTGACTGAACGCGAGTGGGGACAGACCAGCTGTTTCACATTTGATGGAAACAATATGGACATGCCATACCTCTTTTTAAAGCTCAGAACAGTCCAATGAAGAAAAAAAAATAGATCTGTGTTGTTGGTCCTCCATACTAAAAAGTGTGGAGTTCATTCAGAGACAATTTTGCTGTTCATCACAAGTTCTCACATGTATGGAGTGTGCATGATGCAGTGGCTGCAGTGGTGTCAACAGGTGCAGACTAGAAAGAGAGGGGGAAAGGCGCAGACCGTGATCGCTTTGCCCCGCGAGGTGGTTAGGTCGCAAGATGATTTCCTCCCAAAAAAAAAGTCGAACAAATATATTTGTTGCAATTGATTTGATTCAATATGACTACTTGTTAAATTGTGTTTGGAGAAGAGTCTGTTCAAAATATTATATATTTTAATAAAGCTAAAGGTGTTTGGAGCCTTTACAAACAAATAATACCTGCTTTAAAATGAAACAGTAGTTAATATCCACAATAAAAAAACCCAGAGGGGGAGAAAAGTCACATGTGCCAGAGGTGAGGCCGATTGATGGTGCGAAGACTGTGGCAGAGGAACATCAGAGAGGGCAGCTAAGAACAGTGAGGGCGAGCCGCAAGAAATGCCCTCCACCGCTGCCAAGGGGGGATCCCGCCAAGCCCA